TTTATAGTCATTTGTATCTTGTATCCCATGACTGAAACTCTTTTGTTGTGCATTTGTGTTGAAAGTCTTGGCTCTCTTTTGGGTTCTGTCATCTGCAAACTTGAAATTTCCTATCAGGGGTCAGGTAATGGGATTACAGGCTATTTTTGCCTCTTTGCTTAAAAACTGTGTGAAGCATTTAAAATCTGGATAATCACCTGATTCATCAAGTTCATCCACAACTATTCGACTCCACTTGTGAACAATCCATTCAGGTAATTTTTTGAGCAACTTATGGTTCTCTTCACAGTCACTGTTGATAGCTAATCCCTTGACATGTGGAATTGCTTCTTTGCAACCTTGGAGGAAGTCAGAAAATTCACGTAGTGCAAGTGAGTCATTTGCATTGATCTTTGGCCATCTTGCAAGCTTGTCACGAAAAGCTTTCTGTATAATAAACGCGTTCCCATATCTGTCCTGTAAAACTTCCCAAGCTCCAATGTATGCACTTTCTGAGTCTCGGTAAAATAAATCTTCAACAGCTTTGCGTGCTTCTCCAGCAAGATTGCTGGACAACTTGGATGACAACTTGCTTCAGCTAGATTGGATGACTCTGGATTTATTCTCACCTCAGGAGCTGATTGGTACGGCTGGAACGATGTAGCTTCTGGATTCAAGCAGGGTTTATCTCTAGAGAAGACAGGGTTAGTTCTGTAGTTAATATCTTCAACATTGTTCTCACAGCGTTCAAATTCATCATATGCCCTCACATGAGCTGCTGCTACAGCTATTTCCTTTTCTTCTTTTAACCGCTTCCGTTTTGTTGTTGCATTTCCACTTCTTTTTGCTTCATTTCTGACAGTATTTTTGACTCTTTAAGTTTCCATTCCTTTTCTAATTTTTGGAGCTGTGCTTGAATTTCTTTGGTGGCCTTTGATTGCTCCACTTTAGCAGCAAGCTCTGCTTGCGCATCTGCCTTGCTGTTATTAGTATTAGATGAGCTGGAATGGCTGCTTGAATTCTCTGATGATTTTGATGAGCTTACAGTTTCAGTTTGAGTATGACCAAAGATAGAGCCATATTCATCTTTGTTAAATGTTTCTCTCACTCTTTCTTTCTCAAGATGACTATTATAATCTTTATCAATAGTCTCTGTACGATTGTTTATAAGGTCACAAATTTCCTTTGTGAGCGTAACACAAGCCTCCATCTTTTTGACAATCTGTGCTGTGGTGTTACTGTTACATAGAATGGGCTCGTACTGCATTCTTACAGCATCATACTTTGCTTGAATGTTTTCTTATAAATGATTGAGGTCTTCTAATGTACAGAGGGCCTTTAGTTGTTTCCTCGTTTCTCTTGCTACCCACTTCCAAGAATCATAAACCTTGTGAAACGCTTTCTCACGTTTTTTGTTCTCTTGGATGTCCATCTCTTGGCCTTTTTCTGTTAGTTTTCTTTCTCTGGAGCTAGACCTGATTGGCTTGTCTACAGGATTATCTGTTTTCTCTGTTGGAAGTTACATCTTATTTGCTTTCTGCATTGGTTCACCGAAGACTTTTTAATTATCCTTTGACACATTATGCCAATTCAGTTATGCTGTGAGCTTGTTCATGTGATTGTCCATTTATCTTGCCTGTGTGACATCATTGATGCAAGCGGCGACAGCTGGGTTACAGGTAGGATGGTGTCGGCTTCACTGCGGAAAGATCTGGTCTCTTGCGATGAGTTTTCACTGTAGCGACCTCTTGGAATAAACAGCCAGACAAACGGGTGCAGTTTAATCTTGACTTTTCTTGTCATAGACACCGTGAAAACTGTAGCATGAAATAAAAGGTACATAACTGTTGGGCATGCTTAACTCTTGTATAAATAAACATAAATGTCCACACGTACAAAAAATACGCTGTGTCCTTAACTCCTCAGCATACACAGTTTCGTTTCTAAACAAAAAACAACTGACGTTCTACTACTTTTAAATAAACACGTCTTATCACAAATTACAATTGCGCATATTCATACCTTATTCTGCTTTCCAATGGCGCTATTTTACAGATTTTCTTTGGTTTCCTTCAGGTTCTAACGCTTACTCGTCGTGGTTAGCAAAAACAGGAAGTGCATAACACAAATTACGCGAAGAAGAAATCTAACGTTCTTCAAAGTAAAGGCACAAATCAAACACTAGGTGTCACTGTTGGACCAATGAACAAGAAGGATAATTTTACCATTTAGTAGTTATTTACAGTCTAATTTAACCTGGAATATTAAATATATGTTTATAAGAAGAAAATATTGTGCTATATGTTTCTATTACTCAAGATCTTTCTCACATCTCAGAGTAAATTTAGACAAGATGTACTGCTTTGCATAAATTAACAGAACAGTCCTGGTTGGACAAACTGCACTTGTTAGAGTGACTTCCCAGCCAAAGTGTTTCATTCTTTGAAACACTCATCTCTCTTCCTCTTTGGGAGTGTTGCTGTCCTTCCATTCCTCCAAGAGATTTTCTGTAATGGGACATTTAATCATAAATAGCTCCTAGAAAAGATCTCTGTACACTTACCTGGGGTGTGAAACTTCAAATAATGAATGAGCTGCTCTACTGCTGAGAGTCTTGATTGAAGATGGCCATAGCCACATTTTAAATATGCTGAACATTTTTTCTTTTGGATTTTTGTGTTCTATTTTCACAATCTGGTAGAATTGGGAACAAATTCTGGGTTGTGGCAGCACAACATGAGAAGAGCAGATGGGAAAGTTTAGTGACACTTCAATGTGTCAACACTCTGAGACATTACTTCAGTGAGTACTCATTAAATATGCAGAATAAGCAAGAAGCTCAACTCTTCAACCACATGATCACGTGAAGCTAATGACTGAGCAGTTAGCTTCACTTCGTTCAGCAAAATCAATAAAGTCATTTTTAGTACCAAAGAAGAGAAAGCTTCTTCAATCATAACAGAGGCTCAAGTGTCTTTTACTGAACATTTCTGTTCGCTGTTATTGAGTAAAAACAGCGAAAGACGATGACAGCTGCAACAGCTGGTCGTAACATAGCAACCGAAATCAATAAAAGGCAAGACGGTGACAACAGAAAAAACTAGATCGTGTTAAGCATTCTACAAAATAAATCAATATTGCACTTAAATATGTTTAATTTCACCCTTTTTTTAATTATGTACATTCATGTTAGATTTAGAGACTAATAATCATAAATTATGCTTAACATATTATAAATAAGTCATAACAATGGAACCTTCTCTTGGGTCAGGCTGAGGTTTAAAAGATGTTGCAGAATCTCACAGAGCTGCTCTGCAGCTTCAGGCCTCCAGGCCTCTGAGGCTGACACCATCTGGACCAGCAACCTGGTTCTGGTTCAGTCTCTCCAGCTGCCTCTTCACTTATAGATACTGAAAAGTAGAAGCTGAAGGCAAAGAGAGCAGCAGCATCTCCTGATTTGGTTGAAGACAAATTAGCTGAAGCAGAAGAATCCATTACTGAGGCGGAGGAAGAAGAACTGAAGAAAGAAAAAGATAAGGAAAGCAGGAAAAATGGCTGAAGACAGGAGAAAATGACGATGAACTTGTTCCTGAACTGAACCTGTTGAAGAATGTGTTCAGTTCTATCCAGACTTCCATCTGTCCGTTCCTCCTTTTGCTTGAAGCCTGACCACAGATCTCTGATATTGTTCCTCTTCAGTTTATTTTCCAGCTTCTTCCTGTTCTCCTCTTTGCTGTCTCTAACCTTGACTTTGAGCATCTTCTGTGTACTCCTCAGTAACTCTCTGTCTCGTTCCCTAAAGACTCTTTGTTTCTGCTTTATCAGTTCCTTTAGGTCACTGGTGATCCAGTGACCATTATTCTGGTGGGGACAATTCTGTCCACACAGAGGTTTATATAGTTATATAGTTAGACATCTCCATGTGTAAAGTGCTTTACTGAGCACTTTGAAACCATATTCACATTTATACACTCATATGCATGTGGCAGCACTAGATGGAGCTCATGAATATTATGCATCTTCAGTTCTTGTATCCAAAAACTTAGCAGCTCAGTAACACCACCCTAGGACCTTCTTTTTTAAGGCACATGGGTTCAAATATGCAGATATTTATAACATCTGAGATCCAAATTTACAAATCAATTTATTAAATTCTATTTAAATACTGTTTTAAAACACATTCTCCAAAAGAAAAGCGAGGTTACTGGTAGGAGAGGCAAGAAACAAGGGACAGCATTCACCAAACAACTATAAAAAAAAAAAAAAACCTTTACAGCACCAGACAGTGAGAGGAGCAAAACCCACTTCATCATCAAAATGGCCACAAGAGGGCGCTCTTTTCCATGAAGACTTCCGTTTCCTGCTTATGATAGCATTGCCCCATTACTCCTGTGTGTGGAATGAAACTGTGAAAACAGTTTGCTGCAGTGTGGCAGAGCTAAGAGACCAGGTGTCCTATTGTTGGACTCAATAAAGACTGTCTTTATTCTGACTTTCCACTCTTGGACAGGTGTCCTCAAGTGTCCTCAGCTCATTCCCTTCCTTCATGGATATAATCTTATGCCTAATTGGCTAACTGGAGCAGCTAAGAACAGAAATAGGGCTGTGTCCGATGGAGGAACATCTATGTCTGACTATGAGTTAGACTTTAGCATGAACTACATCACTGGTCAGAAGTGTACAAACACTTAGTGTCAATGAGCTAGTCCCATGTGAAGCTCACAGCTATGGAGCTCAGACTGTTGGCACCTTCAGGTGACAGAACAAAAACGCCACAGGCCAGCTGAACCAGTCTGGGACTGGGAGCTATCAGAGGTTGCTTAGTGATACACAAATGTAGAAACAATATTATGAAAGAATTAATATTTCATAAAGGAAAAGGGATTACTGCATAAGCATGCATAAACTGTTCACCTACCCAGCCCTGCTGGGCTCTGGGTAGGTGAACAGTGTGTGTGAATGTGTGTGTGAGTGTGTGTCCCAGCAGTCCAGATCAGCAGAGAGATTAGCGTTCTCTGAGTGTGAGGATGGCTTGATGGAATGTTCTGGAAAGCCTTTCAGCTGTAGGAAACTAGAGAGAAGACAGAATCTTGAAGACGGAGCCAAACTAAAACCAACTTCAGGAGTCACTACAGTCAGTAGTGTCAGTGCAGGATCCAGGCAGAGATAACGCAGTGGGATAACAGACTCCTGTGGACCCCCAGGCTTTTGGCTACAAGTGGTGTCATATCAGCTAAATCAGACTGAGAAATAATCTGTTTTATTTTTAAGTGAAACAGAGGCTTGATCAGACTCCACTGACAGCAACACTTCAACCTAACTGGTCAAATGGCAGAGGAATACGAACAGGCAGAATTTATCAAAGGTAAGTTCAGCAAGAATATTCATTGAGTGTCAAATAATGATTATTCAATGCATAAACCTCACATCCATTATATTTCAGCAATACTGAGAATTGTCTCACTAACAAATATTACCTATAATTGATCATTTATGAATACATATGGCAATAAATGCTACTTGCTTATTCTTATTAGATTTAGTTATTAGTAAAAATATGGAGCTGCATAATAGTCAATTATTCAATTTTAAGGTGACTACTTTTTATTTTCTCTAATTTCTGTCAGGAGAACTTTCAGAAGTTCCAATGTTTCATTAACTGCTGTAACATTTACGAAGGTGTGCTGGAAGGTACTTAAAAAATTATAGTCAAAAACATGTTACAACTCCTCAAAGGTCAGCCTTTACTTTCTGAAATTTATCTTTAAAAAGATTCATGAGGGGGTTAGCCGTTCATAGGGCTGACCCCCGGCTGCTCTTGGTGGGGGCCACAGGTTATTTAAAGAAAATAATTTAAACATAGATGTTAATTATTAAACAAAAGAATGGACATTTAAAAAAAAAAAACACATAATTGTAAATTATCATGATGATACTGGTGTCATGGAGGGTTGACTTGTTAGTATTTTGAGGGTGACAGTCAAGGTTGAGTGTACAAAATATTTTTAAAATAATCTATCATTTTTTATTTTAGGAATCACAAACCAGAAATAGTGTTCCTGACAGCTTGATTATAAAAAATATGTTCTTCTTCTTCATCCTCTTCTTCTTTTTCTCCTTTTTCTTCTTCTTCAGCTGGGTTCCTGTTTACAGTTTTTGATTTTTCAAAGTCTGAATAATTTTATTTTTAACATAATTTCAGTCCACCTTAGACTGAGGTTAGGTAAATATTGCATTTCAGGGTGAAAAGTTTTGGAGGCATTCTACCATGTGAAGCAGTTGGTGTGAGAAGTTGGAGTTATCTAATCCAAGCACTGATCCTTTCTTAAGAATTCCTGACCTTAAAATATAAACCCTAAGTTTTAGTCAACTCAGAAGTAAGCTGGATGTGCATCTGATTTTTCTGAACGTGATGAGACCCAGACCAAGACACCACAGCAGGGGCTGCTGCAGTCAGTCCAATTCTGTAAGAGTCCAATTCCATAACACCTGCCATAATAATAAAATCCTGTCTTTCTGCGTGTGTGTGTCCTGTACCCTGCAGATCGGCTGTACTTTGCTACTCTTCGTGTCAAACCAAAGAACACTGCAAACACACACTTCTTCAGCACTGATGAGGAGTTCATCTATGAAAGGTGAGCAGCCACTCAGCTGCAGCCTGTGAGCTGCAGCAGCCCGGCTCTACTCTCACCTGAGACTGTCAGACTGTTGGTGCAAACAGCCTGGGAAAAAATATGTCAAACCAAGTAGTCTTATGAAAGAGAATTTATGTTTGTTGGTTTTAAAGAACAGCGAGAGAAGAAACCAGATGTATTACAAGGTCAGACCAAACAGAAAAATACACATCAATATACGCATACACACCTACACACACACACGCACACAGAAACTCAGAACTAGTTGTCTCCAGCTGACCAAGCATGTATGTGAGGGGAATCGAACCACAGGTCACACTTCTCTGATTTTATTCAGACTCATCGCTGGATCTTAAACGTTTAAAAAGATTCAGATTCTCACCTTCATCAAATATTGGCCTAAATAATTTTTTGCTTTAAAAAAACAAAAACAAATCTCCACCTGTTTCTTTCCAAATAATATTTTAGGCAAAACAAATAAACAAAATATTACAAAAAACTATGTAAACTGTTTTGTTTAGGAAGGTGACGATATAAGACTTCTTTCCTGAGTTGACGTTCTGCAAGTATTTGTATTTTTTTTCAAGGTATTTGAAATCTGATCAGGGAGATTTTCTATTTCATAAAATTTTCAGGTTTTGATGCTAATGAGCAGTTTGGTGGAAGTGCCTTTTTCTAGGTTAGCCCGTGCTTATGGCTCCACGGTGAGATGTAGGCCAAGATGAGATCAACGCACCGCCTGATGCAGAGATTTAGAACAATCTCCATGATGGCGTTCAGACCAGACACTTAATCATGTAAGCAGACACCATCAGGCTTCACGTCTGGCCCTTTAAATGTCATCATCTTCAGACATTAAATAAACACAAAGTGCCATTGTTCTAGCCATAAGTACCAAATTTATAAGAATATTTTATTTCAAACCACCATTACTAACAGAAGGACTATAAATATGTAAATAAAATAAATCTTAAACAGAAACAAATAAGAGGTTAAATACTGTAGAATCTAAAGCTTTTCATCAACATCAAATGAATTATACCAGTTAATTACATACAAAGACCACAAAGACATCCTCTCTTTCAGTCACTCTTAAAGTTTGAATATCAGCAACGGAGTCATGCAAGACTAGCAGAGACCTGAGACCCGTATGGATGATCTGCTGATCCCATCAGATCCCATCCAGCAGAAGGCAGGGCGTTCTTCCTTTAACACAGGATGTGTAGTCAGCACATCAAGCAAAGTATTTCTTCTTAAAACTATAAGTGACTCTGGAAAATGTGTTCTGCACACTTTAGTCACATTATGATAAATATATTTAATTCATGCTGCTACAGCAGCAAAGAGGACACCTAAGTTCATTAGTAATGAATTTCTATCAGACTGGTCTAATAGAAAATCCAAAACTGGTTCAGCTACATTAAAGCTATGGTATAGTTACTGTATGCAAAAGTTACAAGAAACATTTCCAAAAATATATTTTTTCCATAATTGTTTCAACTATCACCATATCCTGACCAGGATTATAATACTTTTTGGGGGTTTTTTGATTATAGTTTTCTTGGACTTGACTTGGATTAACTAATCATATAGCTAACATTATCTGCATGCATTTTTTGGAAGAAAACTGCCAAGTTTTTTTTACCACTTGGCTCTGGCTGGTTGCTGAACGATTGACTGAACAGGTCCACTTAGCACCTGCTCTCCCCTCATCATCTTCCGTGTCATCTCGTCTGGACTACTGTAATGCCCTTTTTAGATGCCTGGATAAATCCTCAATTTTATGGTTGCAGTCAATATAGAATGCAGCAGCCAGATTTCTCACCAAATCCAGTAAATTCTGTCATATCTCTCCTGTTCTATAGTCACTACACTGACTCCCAGTTGATTTTAGAATTTGTTTTGAAGTACTTTTGCTGACACATAGAGTGTTACATGGCCACTTCTGATTATCCTTATCAGTTTGTGGCTAAATATTCTGCTGCTTGTGGTCTTTGTTCTCCAAGTCTGAATCTCCTGGTTGTTCCATGAACCCTGTTAAAAACTCAAGGGGACCGGACCATTCAGTCGGTGGCCCCACAGCTGGCCCTTACAGCTCCGTTTTTCTGACTCTGTTGAGGTTTTTAAAAAGCAACTAAAAACATTTCTATTTTCTGAGGTTTTCAGAGAATCTTGATTTTATTCTTTATGTTGATTTTATGTTTTGTATGGTTTCAAGGTTGATTTTTACTTAACATTATAACTAAAGGAAAAAGTCATAACACTAATAAACTCAGAAATGCCCAAAGAATACAAACTAAGAACAAACAATGAAACTCAATCTGAATAAATAAATTGCTAAAGGTTAAATGAACATGAAAATCATCATACAAACACAAAACACCCCATTATGGTGCCATGGAGCACCTTCAGCAAATCTTTTACGCCAGATTACTGACATGGCTGGAATATCTGCCAGCCAGAGTCCCTTCTATGTGGCGCTTACATTTTTTTCTACTTGTCTATTATTTTCTCTTGATAATCCAGTTAAATCCAGTTTACTCTGGGTGTGTGTCTGATAGTCCGACCCGGTTCAGGTGTGGCCAACGATCAGGCAATCACCAAAGGAGAGCGCATGTGGTCTGGAAGGATTAACAGGAAACTGAAAACGAACATGTATCCTGATTAGGTCCTGCTTTCTAACATTTAATATTAACATTTACTAACGTCCACAAAGACTGCGAAAGTAAATGCCAGCCATGTTGGATTTTAAGTGATCCATTTTTACATTGTGAAACACTATATCTCATTGTTACACAAGTTGTTTTATTTTTTTACTGTTTGATAACTAAAAACAACCAAATAGAATTAGGTAACATTCATCACTTTATGTTCTAGTTTCTATGCAGACTTTGGGCCGCTGAATCTCGCAATGCTCTACAAATACTGCTGCAAACTCAACAAGAAGCTCAAGGTTATACTGAAAGTTTTAACCATTTCAAATTTTGTTCCTTCGCCTTTATTATTTATCTGTTAGTGATTTTTTGTTCCTTGGCTGTTTTTTGTCTGGCTAGTCCTTCACAATGTCTAGAAAGAAACTGGTTCATTTCACCAGCTATGACCAAAAGAAGAGAGCCAACGCTGCATTTCTCATTGCTGCCTACTCTGTAAATATCATTTCATTTTCCCCCTCATTCATCACTCCATTGTATACTTCTTTGTCTAGTTGCTCATTGCTACTAACCCAGTTTAACTTTTACTCTATAGGTTATCTATTTGAAAAGGAGTCCAGATGAAGCCTACAGGACTCTGATCTCAGGAAATAACACTCCCTACCTGCCATTCAGGTACAAACCCACAAACATGCACCAGTTAGCAGCTTGTTGACAAAAACAAAATCCAGCTATTTGGAAATCTAACCAGTTAACTAGTTACTTTACACTAGTGGCTCATCTGAACCGAGTGTGTAACACTAGATTCAGTTCAGGATGATCATGCTGCTTCTAATTACGTGGGAAAAGAAACCTTGTGTTTCTTTTTTCCCAAATAATTACACAAATGAGAATCTCCATGCTGGTAAAGTTGTTGCTGCTGCCTTGTTGTTGCCCCTGCCCCTGATGATCGTTATTGATCCATTCATCCATTTTCTAACCCTTGTCCTTAGTGGGATTAGGAGTGGTGCTTCTAATGTTCCGGGCAGGGTCACCTGTACAGATCACAAGTCTGTAGCAAGGCAACACTAAGACAGACGGGACCAACAACCATGCACACACACGCATGCACGCACGCACGCACGCATATACACCCACACACACACCAAGGGAGAATTTAGAGAGACCAATTAACCTGACAGTTATGTTTTTGGACTGTGGGAGGAAGCTGGAGTACCTGGAGAGAACCAGGTGCACAGGGAGAACAACTCCATGCAGAAAGACCCTGGGCCAGGAATTGAACCTAGGACCTTCTTGCTGCAAGGCAACAGTACTACCAATTGTGCAGCCCATTACTAAATGATGTTTATTGAAAATATGTTTAAACTGTAACAACAAAGCAGGCAAAAACAGCAGAGAAAGTAAACCAGCTGTAACTCAGGGACAAAGCAGAAAATCAAGTAATTAAATGGGAGGTTGATGGAATAATCAGAAGAGCCTAATCCTCAGAGAGACAAAGAAACCAGTCTAGCTAATCAGAAATAAACGGAAGCAGCTGAGAGCGCAGACAGAGGGAAATCAGGAGATGGATCACAGGAGAACAATGAACTGAGGAAGGAGAACCTGTGGAAAGGAAACAAGAAATAAATAAATAATTCAAAGGAACAAGTCCAGATGCACGGAGAAGAATAAATGCACAGAGAAACTACGGTAACAGAATAGAATAAGCTCAAAAGGCAAGATCTAGTAATGAAACCACAAAGACAGAAACCCAAATCATCCCTCTGTTATCTACTTCACATTTTTTATGTTAATATTTTAAGCTATAGTCAATTGAAGGGAAGATTTATTAAAAGAAAAACTGTGAAATAGACCTTATCTGACAGTCCAGTATCACCTTTCTGCTCACCTGACGCAGTAACAGATACACATTTTTATCTGCAATGAAAACCTTGTGTGAAAACTGCAACAGACACACTTTTGTCAAGCAATGTGCTGATGCTAAGGAATTTACATATGTGCATAAACGTGTTGCAGCAGTGATCTGATAATAACGTTATTTAATGTCATCCTATGCAGAAGTTCCATCTGCACTGATGAACATTCCCTTTACTCTCTTTACTGTTTTAACTTTTTAACTTTTCTTCTTTTTTTTATGTAGCTATAACAAGAACATTTTCTGATATAAATAAAATACTGCTCCTATATTTATTTACAAGCTCTGGCTGATGAATACTTCCATATTAAACTAATCTAAACCTTTGCTGAGCTTATCGACATGCTAACGTCTATATGTCCCACAGGGATGCAGCAGAGGCAGAGAGCACCTTCAGCCTCACTGTCCTGGACTGTTTACAGGGAATACATAAGGTAGTGTGGTAGTGTCCACATCTCGCCTCTCCTCATGTTTCCATCTTGGCTTCTCTGGTTCTAGTGAACATAGTCTCTCTTGCAGGCATTGCAGCACAGCTTCCTGGATTTTGAAACTTTTAGTCCTGAGGAATATGAACATTACGAGGTAAAAGTGATTCGCTGTGGCAACCCTTAAGTTTGACGGGTTTATTCCATGATAGTAATTGTCAGCAAAACTATAAAGGGTTTTGATATCTCATGTGTGAATAGTTGATGCACATTATTCAGTAACTTCCATTTGTTTTTTTGCTGTGTCTGACTTCAGCGAGTTGAAAATGGAGACATGAACTGGATTATCCCAGGAAAGATTCTGGCTTTCAGCAGCCCTCATGCTCGAAACAGCGTGGAGAACGGTGAGTCCAGGACTTCTCATTACTGCAAGGAATTTCAAAGGAGGGAACAGTCTTCCTTGATTTGCATTGCTAAACTAATACGTCTTTATAAGTCAGGACGTTTTGTTGTTTTCCTTCATCTTTCATCATTATATAGTTACATCTCAATGTTTTTTGGTTGGATTTGATGTGACACAAAGTAACAAAGTACAAAAATGAGAAAAAGATGGAAAATATATTTGGTTTTCAACATTTTCAGTGAAGGCAAATCTAAAAAGTTGTGGTGTACTTTATATTGAGTCAACACTTTGCAGTGCCACCTTTCCTTCCAATTCCAGCTGCAGGCCTTCTGGAATTTGTTTCTAGTAGCTTTGAAAGTCTGGAGACCGAAATGTTTGCTTCGTCTTTGTAAAATAGTTCAAGCTCAGTCAGACTGGATAAACAATGTCTTTAATTGTCAACTCTGAAATCTTGGTATCCATCAAGTGCTATTTCTTAAACCCGCTGTAACTGGGTCCATCTTGGCTTGTCCTTGTGAATTTTAAGGTTATCCTCTCCATGCACCTGAGGCGTACTTTGAATTCTTCGGCCAAAACAACGTGACTGATGTGGTCCGCCTGAACAAGAAGATGTATGAGAGTCGACGGTTTGAGGACGCAGGTTTTGAACACCATGATTTCTTCTTTATGGATGGCTCAACACCCTCTGACCTGATCGTTAGACGTTTCCTGCATGTGTGTGAGAGCGCAGAGGGAGCTGTAGCCGTGCATTGTAAAGGTTCGGTTGGACGTTATTTTTTTCTTGCACTCTAAGAGCCATGCATAAGCTAAATGTATCACTTTCCAATCTCAGCTGGTTTGGGCCGTACAGGCACCCTGATTGCCTGCTATCTGATGAAGCACTTCAGGTTGACAGCAGCTGAGGCCATTGCTTGGATCAGGATCTGCCGACCCGGATCAATCATTGGTCCCCAGCAGAACTTCTTAGAAGAGTAAGCTTAAGACTTTAAGGCTGAACAAGAAAAACTACATTTGAAATTTTTATTTTGATGATGCCTGTTTCTAGAATAATTTGTCATATTTTAGATCGGTATTAACTCAATCCCTGTTCATGAATAGATCATTTGGAGTGTATGAACAAGTCAATCAATCAATCAATCAATCAATCAAATTTTATTTGTACAGCACATTTAAGCATCAAGGCATTTCAAAGTGCTTTTCATCATAACACAAAAACACAAAGTCATGCAACATAAAATCAACAATCAAAACATGACATTAAGTCAAGTTCCATCATTAAATCAGTAATTGATTACATTTCAAATACAATTCTAAACAGGTCAGTTTTTAGTCAAGATTTAAAGGAAGTCAGTGTTTCAGCTGTTTACAGTTTTCTGAAGTTTGTTCCAAATTTGTGGTGCATAGATGCTGAAAGCTACTTCTCCTTGTTTGGTCTGCATCCCCAGAACCAGAACCTGAGAGTCTGGAAGGTTGATACAACAACAGCAGATCTTTGATGTATTGTGGTGCTAAACCGTTCAGTGATTTATAAACTAACAACAGTATTTTAAAATCTATTCTTTGAGCTACAGGGAGCCAGTGGAGGGACTTTAAAACTGCTGTTATGCCCGAAAAACCTTAAACAAGGTGAAAAGTTCAAGATTTACTGTCACTCATGACAGACAGTGAAACTTATATTACATACATTCACTACAAATAGAGTGAAATATTTAAAATCTTTATTTCTTCTACTTTTGATTATCATGGCAAACGAAGTAAAAAAGGTGAAGTGGGAGTACAGGCTCATTTTACCTTGACTTTTTTCTACATCCGTTATCTTACTCGAAACAACAGAATCATCCAGTATATTTTCCTAAAACATATTTCCAAAGCTGTCGTTAGACAAAGAAAAAATAAATAAAGAATCATAATAAGACCTTGTATTTATTTAGCAAAAGATTTTTCTATATTTGTTTTAAAGAATGGAAATCAGTTTTAACTCTTGACAACAATTATTCCTCACAGAAATTCCTCTAGCTAAAGTGGTTGTTTTAAATATTTGTCCTAACCTTTAGTTTTTTTTTAAACAAACCCTTATATATCTTAATATTTATTTAATTATTAATAAAAGCTTTGTCCGTTGTCAATGTCATTATCAATCTGATGTGAATAAATTTCCATCCTATTGACTAATACAGATTGAAAACCAGCAGGAGGTCATCTATTTCTCAGCACTGCTAATTGTTTTCATCAGTTATGAGGCCACTTCACCAAAAAAATCACCAGAAGATGCAACTTGATGAGAAGATGCTAAGTTATATTTTTAGCTGGAGTATTTTATAAATCATTGTGTAATATGAGAAAGTGTGTGTGTGTATGCGTGTGCGTGCATGGGCGACTGTGTGTGGGTGTGTGTGTCCGCATGCAGGAAACAGCACAGCTTGTGGGTTCAGGGAGACGTGCATCGCTCCAAACAGAAGCTTGCTCAGCAGAGGTTCAATCGACAGCAGCAACAGTATCATCTGCCTGGTTCTGACCCGGTACCACCGGGCAAACGAGAAGCAATGCCTCATCTGGTTACAAGCATGAATGATCTGTCAATCAAAACCACTCTGTGCAAATCTTACAGTTTGGATGAAGTGAGTCATTCACGTTTTTGGCATCGTTTTTAAGCAGTGTAGAAGTGTAATCAAAGTAACACTGTTTTTTTTTTTATGTGAACAGAGCAATTGTAAGGAAACCAGTCTGACCCAGGGAGACAATCTGAGAGCAGTGAAGGGAAAACGAACACCAAGATCAGCTTCCTCCTCTTCCAGGTACTGTCTGCTCATAGAGCAGCAGGTTTCATGTGATTACCCTTCCTCAAGCTCAAAGCTGAAAATTCTAATTAATAGAATATTAGTGTGCATCTGCTTTGAATTTAGTCTTCCATCTTCCTGGGTCAGTTAACAAGTTCCTTACAAGGAGCAAGAAATGCTCCTTGTAGCTTTTAATTCTTACCCCTCGAGACAGCAGTGAGGGGTGACTCATAGGGAGTCACCCCTCACTGCTGACTCCCTATGAGTCACCAGTGCCCCCACAACAACTTTCTGTTGTGGGGGAACAACAGGAAGTTGTGCCCTGTGAGGGCACACCTTCCTGTGCCTCCACAGGAAGTATATCCTGTAATTTAGAACCGTGGACAAATACCTTGAGCAGCCCAATTGGAAGTAGCAGTATTTCTCCACCACATTTCACAATGCTTAGAATGAATTTTTAAGTTGGTATTGCAGTACTCAAATCCTTCATATAATTGCTGACCAGCTTTTTGCACATTTCTCCTGGAACGTTTATCATCATGTCTTCAATGTCTCCTTGCCATCACCCTAATCTTTTGTGTCCTTCCTTCATTCCTTTCTTCATTCCTTCTTTCCTTCCTTTCTTCCTTCCTTCCTTCCTTCCTTCCTTCTGAGGTCACCAGGAATGCAGGTGACCTCATAAGGTGTCATATGGCATCTATCTTCAGTGTGCATGCAAACATAAAGATGTAAAATTTCTATCTGTCTTTCTTTCAGGTCAAACACATCAAAGGTGTCCCACTGTTCCATCCTCACCCCCCCCAAGTCACCTAAAATCAGCCTTTCTCTTCCTCCATCTTCTTCTAAGAAGCTTAGAAGAAGCTCTTCCACTGTCACACAGATCAAGAGGTGGGTGATGACTGTCCTGTTGTGTGACACAGACACTATTTCTTCTTGTTCTGTCTTTGCATCTCTAATTCTCTGACATTGCATGCCTCTCCCCTCAGTCCTTTCAGCCTTAGTCTATTCAGCACCAGGCCTGCATTGATTCACTGAACTCAGCTGGGAGTACAAGGTTACGGATCTGACAGTAAGCAGATCGCAAAACTGGATCAGCCAGAGTCTTGGAAAGCATTAAACATTGTGTTCATGAAGCCGTTGAACTGTGCTTCATTGATTTGAGCTTTATTGATTTGTGAGAACATTTGATGAACAAATCAGTTGTTAAGAATGATATTTTTTCTGTATTACCCATGAGCAACCGTTAGCGGTTGTCTGTGACGCAGACAGGGGTTGTCTGAACATTAACCTAGCAACATGTTGCTTTCTCTGACCTTTGAACTCTTGATGTTGACAACAGACCTTTTAGAGATGACCTAAGAGAAGTTTTCAAGTGTGGCACAAATAACATGTTTTGTGGTACAAACAGAATACCTTGAAGACTCTGCTCGGTATGGTGATGTCATTCATCCTGACTTTCACTACACCCATCACCACCATCTGCAAGAGGCAAACCAACTGAATATTATCACAATACTGTCACCTGCTGGACAAATGCAATGATTGATGTTCTGCTGGGAACCTTTTGCTTCTGTTAGGCTTATTTTTGATGGTGATTTTTTTTGAAGTAGGGTCATGCAAAAAGACTTGTTAGAATGTCTCATTGAGCAGACAGTGGAGAAAATAGCAAACGTAACAATTCCAACAATATAGACAGTTTTTTTTGTTAAACATTAATTGGAATTTATTGTGGCAACAATAAATCAAAATTTGAAATTTATCACAATAAATATGATACAACAATACAATAAATGCCCTCCCCTAACTGGAAGTAAATCTAGTATTTAAAATTTAAAAACATAAGGAGAAAATAACTCAGTGTTATATCCTGTACTGTGATGACCAATTTAGACCTTTTCTTTCTCATGTTAAAATTAACAGGCTTAGAGTATAATAATAAATTCATGTGCATTTGCCTTCAATGTTAAAAAACAACAACTAGACAATCAAAGATATGAAGAAACAGAAAACAACCAAGATGCACTTTATGGTTTGAGGCCTCATATAAATGAAGCATGTTTGTTCAGAATATGCAATGTGCTGCCTTGTAAATTAAGATGGACCGGAAAAGTTTTGAAAACCGCACTAGAACGCCACATGGTGGATAATTTATGTTGTTTGGTGACGGTAAAAAAGGAAACTAGATCCAAGACAGTGGAATGTAACACTGAACAGTTCATGGAATTAAGCTGATTATTATCTTTATATGTGGTATTTCAGACAAGATTTGTTCTTTACAATGGGCAAAGTGAGATCTTTGCCTGGGCTGACGACAGGCAGAGAACCCATGAAGGTTCTCAACTCATGCCTTTTCTGTTGTCATGACAACATTCCTGAAAGTCGGTTTGGACGGCATAAATTTTATGTAGGAGTCAAGATACCAATACTTTCTATCATCATAAACATTTTTGGCAGATTTTTTATCCCAAAACATTTTTAAGTATTTGCTGAGTTCAAGTTCTGGTTGTTTTTTATGTTTTGTTTTTTTTGTTGTTTTTTTTTGCTAATCTATAATCTTGTTTTGCAAATAATATTTTTTATTTCAGAATTGTTACGATGATAGTGAGCTTGGTCAGAGGTCTTTGATGGAGTTTACAGAATCGTAAACAGCTGGATGAGAAGGCTTAACTACGGTGCTATCCACTTCCTAATATTTTAAGAAGGGAAAAAATGAGGAATGGAGGAGGAGTGGACTATTGCATCAGGTAGTCAGCGCACGCATCACTTTGTACTTCTGCAGCTTTAGAGCCCTGTGAGGAGTTAGCAAGGTAAAGAAACACTATTCTCATATTGGGGTGGAAAGCTCAAAACGGAACTGGTTTCAAAGCCGAACGCAACTGCAGCAGTGTGGGAGTATTTCGGTTTCAAATCAAATGACCGAGGCAAACCGCTGAATCTTTGCAAGCCGGTATGTCGCATTTGTCACTAAACAGTAGCAATTAAGAGCAGCAATACAACCAAAAGGACACGTGCACCTAAAGGACAAAGTTTTTAAGGCTGGGGACAAAAAGTACAACAGGTGGCCCATCTCCGTCTTCAAGTTTGCGACAGTCCACCATCGTTGAAGCAATTAATCGACAGAGTACAAAAAGGAGGGCGCAAAGTGGTGTGCACTCACAGACAGCGTAGTTCGCTTAATTGCTAAAGAGATGCTCCCATTTAATATTGTTGAAAAGCCGGCATTTCGAAAAATGTAGCAAACATTTGATCCCATATCCCTGGAAAAAAATACATATCACAAACGGCAATTCCACAACTGTACAGCAGTATTAAAGAGGACATACTGAAGGAGATAAATGACATTTCATTTTACTCTGCTATGTTGGATATGTGGTCAAGTTCATATATGACCCCTGATATGAGCCTGACCATTCACTATATAGCTGCTAACTGGACCTTGCACTCTAAATGTTTAGAGACCAGATATGTCCCAGATAACCATACTGCTGACACCCTGGGAGAAAACCTGAAATCTGCTTGGGATTGGAACAGACAACTTGATTTAAATCTAATGATATACAGACTTCATAATCTGTACTCTTTTGGTTGAATGTAGTTTTTATTTCTACTGTGGTTTTATATTGTGTTTAGTTTTTATTCAAGTGCATTTTTTGTTAACCGAGACCGAGTTCATTTTATTTTTATTTATGGTTGTTTTATTTTGTTAACCAGTTCCAGTGTTAAGTGTTCTTTTGAAAATAAAGTATATTTATATTTGGCAGGAAATCGCATGCATCATTACGTCATTTCTATTAAAACAGTGAAAAAAGGTCTTCAAACAATATTATCATTTATCACAATAATTTTTGAGACAATTAATAGTTCAGCTAAATTTGTTATTGTGACAGGCCTATTCTTGATGTAGAGTTTGTTCCTCACAGTGTTGCAGAGTTTTGATCCTTAAATGAAGAATAAAGGCTGACGTAATGTAAGAATGCGTTTTTTGTTACTGTGATACGATTTAGCGATTAGTTGTTGCTCAGAATTGTTCAAGTGTGTACAGGCTGTAATCTACACAAATACTCTTTTCTAGTGATCATGCTTGTAAAATGAATTCTCTGAGAAGATGTCACCATCAACATTGCATTTCATTGTCCAGTTCTAATACAAAACAGACAGGCCCAGCTGATCATTAAGTGACACCTTTTTAAAGTTTCCAGTCAGAAAGCCAGCCGGTTGCTCTGAACCATTCCTTCTACAGTCTCCCTCTTCCTGAGGAAAAGCTCAATGCGACAGTGGAGAGAAACAACTCCCTGTCATTGGGAAGAAACATCCAACAGAACCAGGCTTGAGATTGGCTGCTATATGTTACTGTTTTTTATTAAAGATTTTATTTACATCGCCATGCTGACCAAATCAAAGACTGTACTGGCACAACATTGTTGGCTAATAAATAACTGAGCAAGATAATAATAACTATTAGAGATGCACCAGTTAGCCTGAGATTAGAATCAGTCTGTTTTCATTGATAGCTCTGAACCATGATCAGTAAGTTAAATACTGAGAAACATGATTAAGATAATAATTATGATAAAATAATGGATATTAGTAAAACATATTAATTTGACCAGGTAAGGTGCTGTTGCAGCCTGAGTGACTCCCATTCACCAGAAGTACCTTGTTTCATTGAAATTGCTCCTGTGGTTTATGTTCTGGAGCAGTTGATTGTACTGTTGCCTTGCAGCAAGAAAGCCTGGGGTTCAAATCCTAACCTGGAGTCTGGATGGAGTTTGCATGTTCTCTCCATTCATACGTTGGTTCTCTCCAGGTACCCCGGTTTCCCCCACAAAAATGAGGCTGTCAATCAAACTCTCACTCTCTGTGATGAACTGGCAACCAGACGGACCTCGTCTCCAACCCAATGACTGCTGGAGATAAGCACCAGCAGGGATAAGCTGCTGGATGGATGGATTTACCGTGCAGCTGAAGAGTTGTAGATACATTTACACTAGAGATGCATCATGGTGCTCTGTGTCCACTACATCAATGTTTCTTGCAGAGCGGAAGAGGTCTTGAATAACATCTCCCTGAAACATCAGGTTCCAAATCACATTCTGGGTGTGTTAACGTGTCACTGACACAATAAAACCATTTAGATCAGGTGTGTCAAACTCATTTTCGTTTTGGGCCAAATCAAGATCATGAAGGCTCTTAAAGGGCCAGTTGTGCCAGAATGTGTTGATAAAACCTGTTCACAAACTGTTAATATGTCAATGAATTCTTAAAATCACATAATATTATTGAAGATCTTTTCAGTTCCTTCAGTAACTAATAATAAATGTGACTGTTTATTCACTCGCTGTATAAATCATGGACTATAATCATACATCAACTAAATTCTCAAGAAACTGGAGGGATTGATTGATACAAATTGGCAGTAAACAGATAAATACTGCATTGATATGATTGATAATATAATATTTAATCACACTTAGTGTTTAGTCTAGTCTGTGGAGGGCCACATAAAAAGCTACGGAGGGCCAGATTTGGCCCCCGGGCCTTGAGTTTGACACATGTGATTTAGATGATTTAAAACAATGAACTACTGTGATTTCACTTTGTGTTCATAGAAGCTCTTAATAATAAGTATTTCTTACAGAATACTGTAATGTAAGTTGAGTAATGCTGTTGGATGCAAATAATGTTAGCTAACTGATGACTGTATAAATATTCCACTCAATTAGTATCTGTTTTCATTTACATCATAAGTTTTATACCAAAAACATACCATTGCTGTTACCCATCACAATACATATCACAATATAATTTTATGCCGCATCGCACTTCCCTATCTATAACTAAAACTATATCTGGCTTGGTAATCTTCTGTCTCTCTGCTATAGTCTTCTACATCTCATTTACAATTGTTGCTTTTTGATGGAATAAAAAAAGCGTTGTATATTGAACAAGCATGGTTTATTTATCATGAAGGACCCTGTGATAAAAACCAACCCCTTGTACCACGCTTTGCTTTGTCCAAAGGGTCCGGACCCTCAGCCATTGAGAAACAATTGTTTGCTGAAGCTTTTATCAATTGATACAGATTTGACCACATTGCTAACAAATAGCTGTGACAATCGTAATGCATCAGCTGATAAAACTTACCAGGAATTGTGTGTGCTGTAAATAACCCCATGTGGATTAGGGCCATTACATCTTTGCCAGCAATAAAATGTCATAAACATTCCTCTTGCTCTGACTTTAATTGCTCAATATTTGGTGATAAATAGCCAAATTGAGCTAACTAAATTCTGAAGTCTGTTAATTGAATGACAATCTTCCATGTCTGGATTTTGGTACTTCAAAAGAGACATTTTCATAATCACTGAAAATATGATCAAATTATTTATGTCCCTTATCTTTCCACCTATTTAAACCTGACATGTTTTTGTGATTTACCTGGCTGCTTTCTCCAACATGGAAGTTCTGCAGCTGGTACGCCGTCACCTGGCCATCACTGTCTCCTACTACAACACAGTCTGTGAGGGATGCAAACAGAAGGGATGTCATCTTCAGTCCAGGAGCAGCAGGCTGTACAATTACCGGATCCAAACTGGAAGATAGAAGTTATGAAATCAAGTTCGCTTTCGAGTTCTTTTCTGCATGCTGATGTGCGTACTGGCCGAGTGAAGTGAAGCAAGCAAATTCCTCAGACTTACAAGCTGGAATTCAGGTCCCAAATCTCAAGCTGCCCTTCGTTAACTGCACCGAATACTGTGGCATGCTTTGGAGACCACCTGACTTCCCCCACCGGATGGTTGGAGGTGAAGCTTAACAAAGGGTTAATGCAGTCCTGCTTCCAGAGTTGGATGGTGGAGTCAGAGGAGCAGCTTAGGAACACATCAGGATGGAGAGGACACCATGTGATACAGTTCACAGGACACTGACAGGAAACAACAAGAACACAAAAAAGTCACTCAAATTATTTAGTCTGAGGATTACTGCTTCACATTAGTGTGAATCAGTGCAATGTAGATTTCTATAAATCAATCAATCCAGTTTTATTTGTATCGCACAATTCAGCTGCAAGCCATTTCAAAGTCCCTTACATTATAACAAACACAAAAACACAACGTCATCAAGTGGGGGTTTGTTGCCTTTGTATCCATGAAAGGTTTGCTGTGTTATATGGAACAAAATACGTGGTGGTATTTTTATTCTCACTCACGCTCACAATCAAGCAGTTTACAAACAGTGTTAACAGCCTTTCAACGGGCTTCTGGCACAATGCTATTGCAATTGCAACATAGAATCAACAATCAAAACATGACATGAAGTCAAGTTCCATCATTAAATTAGTAATGAATTCATTCTAAACAGGTGCGTTTTTAGTCGAGATTTAAAGGAAGTCAGTGTTTCAGCTGTTTTACAGTTTTCTGGAAGTTTGTTCCAAATTTGTTGTGCATAGATGCTGAATGGCGGAGAAAGGAGAATGGTGCTTCTCCTAATTTGGTTCTGGTTCCGGGGATACAGAGCAACCAGAACCAGAACCTGAGAGTCTGGAAGGTTGATACAACAACCAGCAGATCTTTGATGTATTGTGGTGCTAAACCGTTCAGTGATTTATAAACTAACAGTATTTTAAAATCTATTCTTTGAGCTACAGGGAGCCAGTGGAGGGACTTTAAGACTGCTGTTATGTCTCTATCTTCCTTTTAGTGAGAACAGGAGCAGCAGCTTCTGGATCAGCTGCAACTGGAGGATTGATTTGTTGGACAGGCCTGTGAAGACGCTGTTGCAATAATCAATGTGACTGAAGATAAACGTATGGATGAGTTACTCTAGATCTGGCTGAGACATTAGTCCTCTAATCCTGGAGATGTTCTTCAGGCAACAGAAGGCCGATTTTGTCTTTATGTTCTAAGGTGCTACTGTTCCATTGCAATGACCACCAACAACTGCAGGTTCTAAGAGAATGATCATTTTGCTGTGGTTGGGAGAGAACAAACCACCAGAGCTGGGATTTGTGAAACGTAGCTACTGTTCTGAGTGCATAGATCCTATTGTGATGTAAAAAAGAAAAGGGTAAAAAAGAAAATAAAATAACACAGTAACATTACAAATACATCTGGTATGTACGGAGACTCCCTGATGAGGGCAAATTACAGCTGTTGTGTTGCTATGCTAACATGTTTTTCATTCAAAACATTTTCAGTTTTGACTTTTTACCAGAAGAACAAAAAATGTTCTTGACAATTTAAAAATACATTTTCAAAAAGAGCTACTCCAACACGTTGTCACCAAGTGAAGCAGAATTCTGGAATCCATAACATTCCAGTTTCCACCAAGAAAATGTAGAACTTGCTCCTCAACATATTACCAATTACTTTATTTATTGATTCAGTAAATAACCAAATTTTATTCAAAATGAAAACACTTTTTGGTCCAAATGTTTGTATTTGATTATTTTTAAAAAATGATAGATTGCTGTTAATCATCTAGACCTGTTACAGTAAAACATTTTACTCAACAATAAGTTGTCCCAGAAATTATTACAATTATTGATAATATTGTTGTTAAAGACAATTTTTAAGCAATATGATGGTAAAGGTGTAATAATGCATGAACACATTCTCAAAGATCAATAAACTTTAAATTCTCATGAACATTTAACACTGGAACTAAAAGACATTTTACATTTCTGAAATAAATAAGCAAAACTACAGAAATACCAAATGTAATGAATTATGAAGTTTCTATAAACAAAATTATCCTTCAATAAAAGGCTAGTTGAGACCAAAACAAATTATTCAAGACTTTTATCACCCAGTTTTTGGTAGAAAGATATAATATCTAATTCAAATGGAAATTGTTGAGCTAGTTTTAACTTATCATGAAAATAACTGATTATTGTTTATTGTGACAGGCCTGATAGGGTTTGCAAATTAGCCTGTGGCTAGAAAACCTTCATACAAAACAACAATTGCTTGTTTTTATCAGGTAACATTGTTTACTGCACTGCCCTTAATGAAATTTTTTTTTGGAATTGAATTAAAATAATTTGATACATTTCCTAATCACATCTCACCATAGTAACATTATGTTTGTATATGTAAGAAAGTTTGACTTAGTTTAGGTAGATTTCGCTGCAGTGGAAGAAATAAAGTCTCAGAAAGAGGAGGTGACTTTCACTATGTCAAACTTACAAAATGTTTCCTGTAAGTTTCCAGAAACTGGTGACAGTTGGAGCATGAACACTTGTGGATGTTACCTTCCCAGGTACCAGTCAAATAGATGTTGGAGTCCTGCAGGAGCATGGCGCCACAAACAGAAACATGCTATGAATCAGCTGGCATATGAGCATCTAGTAACTTACAGATATTCTGGAGCAACTTACCCTTGGATGAAAGTCAAAGCACAGACCAGGGGTAAGAACAGACAGCACACACTCTACTTTCTTCTCTGGCTTGTTCTGTTCAGTCTTTCTCAGGGTATTATTCATCTTCTTGAGCTTCATCAGGTCTACACAATAACAAGTCAAATATTCAGTTGTTAATCTTATTAAGAGCATATTCTTAACTCATACAAGAAAAAAAGTCTCTTTATTGGAATTTTTAAACAAACAGTTGGAACATTTTGTAAAATATGACATCAGTTGTAGTAGTAGTGCTGTTCAGATCAAAATAAAATACAAACAAACAAACACTGGCTAATCTGGCAGAACTGAGTAACTATGGAGTTTAGAAGGGCTGCATCTTGAAGGGTCCACCCAGGCGTTTTGCACAGCTGAATGGTTGTCATGGGAAATTCTCAAAACATAAAAGAATAAAGGCAACTCTCCAGATATGTTTTTGATAACATGATGTAAATCTCAAAAAAGTTGATTTAATATAACACTGTCCCTTTAAATATCCATATTAATTCTTCATGTATCTTAACATCTTGTATGTGGAACATATGGATATGCATCTTGATTTTCACATATATATGTTAGGAAAACCCATAGAAGCCTGGAATAACGTATTGTTTCATTTTTGCCTTGAAGAGCACTGTGAGCTGGAAATTGAAAAGGCAGATTTTACGGCGGAGTACAGTACCTGTACAGTCAAGGCCACCATTGATGACAAACCACTTGCAGATTCTGCCGTCTGCACCCACAGAGTACAGAGATTCAATTTTCTCCTCTCCAGTGAAGCTCAGTTCTTGTTGGTTCCACCTGAGCTGCCACACTGGCCCAAGGTGTCTTTTGGCACATTCACTGCATACCAGAAGAAACAGAACAGCAACATAGGAAAGTAACTCAGGGATGTACCATATGTTGCCATTTACATTGGCATTGGTGTTATTTATCAAAGTTTATTTCCATCTTGTTAAGAGAGGGCTTGTCATAGTGACTGTGGGTTGTATAACTGAAGCAGAGAAGGAATCTCAACAGTGTGGTCATTTCTTCACAGTGTGGAATAGTTATGACAGCAATCTTGATATTAGGTATCACCACAGGCCCAAACTTTCATTTCGGTGCACCTCTAATTGAACTTATCTTTAAATAATGATAAGAGAGCTGCACCATCCACTAACACTCATTCCTCACCGGCTGCTGATGAAAAGTGACTTATTATCTGCACTCTGCACATTGTGGATAGCAATGCTGCCGTCATACATCCCCACAGCCAGCTGCCCAGGGCTGTTCTCTGAGAAATCCACAGTTGTTACAGCGCTGTCACAGTTAATGATTCGCTCAGGCCACTGCAAGAAGAGAAGAAGGCAAACACCTGAAGCTTCTACATACCTAGCAAGCCCAAAGCCTATCTTGAAGGACAACTAGAGACCGTAACAATGACAAGACAGAACAAATGTAATAGAAATGACGAGTCCAAAGGCTGCTAAAAATTCTATACACTGATATGTAGAGCTACTTGTTGTCAGTGAAGCGGTAAATGGCCTGTATCAAGTCCAGAGGACCTCAAAGCACTTAACATTACATTCAGTCATTCACCCATTCACACACAAACACACCCTCACTTTATTGGAGACAACTGCAATGAATCGAGTTGGGTAAGAAATGTTGTCAATAGCCAACATAAAGGAAAACATGGTGGAGGTCTAAGGGATTTTTAACCCCACACTAGACCAGATGATGGCACCTTCTTTGCATGTCAATGCCCTGCATGTTGCAACTGTTCCATGATCAAACGTGAACACAGTGTAGAAGTGAATTGTTTGTGCCACTATATCTGCTGTCATTCCTGTGAATAAATGAGAGATATTGCATTTTGTATGCACTATGATGTGTAATTTCTGCCTCCGCAAAGGTCTTTTATAAACAACCAAGTACTGTAAGGCATCTAATTTTCTGATTAGCTATCTGATTTTGGAATCGGATGTTGTAGGTTACTTCCTTGGGAATGAAAGTGTCCGGATTAAGACCGGCTTTTAATATTACAATAATAGTACAGTCAGAACATCTCGTGTGATTTGACAGCAGTGTGTGAGTATTGCCTTAACCTATGTGTTCTCCAGTTTCATAAATGAAAATACACAAACATTTGTTTACTGAGGAGACATGAACTGAAGTCAGTCATACCGTTGGGTTTTTAATAGACCAGCAGCACACCAGACCTGGTTCATGATCTCTGTAGTTAGTCTCACCGTAACCTACAGCAAGGAGGTCCTAGCACAAGAACACTAGAGTCAATGTTATGATGGGGTGAAAATATCAGTGGCAATAACTGCAATTATATATCAGAATTTTTGTTGTGAGGTCTTGGCACAGAAGTTAACAACCAGAAATGCAAGTTATGATAATTATTCACAAAGGAAATTAGGAAAGAAGGCAATGTCTCATCAGTGGTATTTTGTGTGAAAAATGTGACATGACAATAGAAAAATAAAAGACTTTCTGGTGAAACTTGGGGCCAAAAAATCTGCATTCTAGATTCCTACTTAATAAAGTCGTGATCAGAGGGAAATTATTATTTCAATGTATGTCCTGTTACAAGTTTTTCTGACCTCACAATTTTTCTGTACATGTATAAGGTAGGTAGTGTGTGTCTTACAGGGTCTTTTTTGTTCCAGGCCATGCTACTGACCCTACAGCCTCTGGTGAGCTCACAACGGAAAACCCAGAGACACTGCAGGGCTGGAGAGCAGGAAATCTCTGCTTCTCTCTGTTCCTCTTCCTTAGGTTTCACCAGTCTATCAGGGTCTGAAAAAATGTAGATGTGTCTCTGTTTATATATATATATATATATATATATATATATTCATGCATCTTTGTACAAAAGTCTGAAATTACCTTCCAGCAAAGGCAGCCCTCTGTAAGTAGCCAGCTGTCTTTGGAAGTAGTTCCGCAGTATGGTCCTCTCCATTAGAAGTAAGGAGTACTGGAATTTATCTGACGTCATGATGATCTCAAAGTCTACCAGTGTGTTTAAACTGCTCCCAACTGTCTCTACATCTTTCAGTGAGCAGGAGGAAATAACTGTAAAGGAATATGTTTGAGTTACGTTTGTTTTAAAACAACCAAACTGAAGCCGAACATCGCTTTTACGTGACTTCAACTCTGTTACCTGGACCAGGTTACCTGTACTAGCTGAGCTGGTCAGGGACAGACTCCTGTCTGGACTTCTCCTGGAGTCCATAGTAGTCTCTGCATCATGGGTCTGTTTTATTTCAGGGCTGTAAACCATCACTTTCTGCTCTGGAGGTGGATACATGTTGAAGGCGGACACAATCATGGCTATAGATAGGAATGACATTCTATTAAAAACACTTCCACTGTAGGAAGGATTTTGTTTGTGATTAAAAACTAAACATGAATGTCTATAAAGAAAACTATACAAACGCATGTTATGACGTAAACTATGGTGTCCTACAATGCTCAATATTAGATTTCACTCCCTTTAATCTTTATATAGGATCATTGGCAGATACGGCATACATGTAATCATTTTCATAGCTGAGCTGATAACACACAGCTCTTTGTCATCTCCTGATGTCATCAGACCTATTAGAATAGATATAATAGAATAGAAACTTTATTCATGCCTTTGGGATTTACCCTCAGGGAAATTGTAGTTCAGTCTCCCACACAGCACCAATACATCAAATACTTCAACTTTTTTTTTTGACATTCTCACTCTGTTTTTATTGTACTCCTGTTAGCCCTCCTTCAAACGTCCAGTGAGGAGTTGAAGAGTTTCGTTACACAAGGGACAAAGGAGTTCTTTATTCTGTTGGTCCTGCACTTTGGAAGAAGCAATCTCCCACTGAACCTGCTTGCAGAGGGTGGCTGTTGTAGTCCATAATATGTTATCAGTTGCAACATCCTGAAGCCCACCGAATTATATCTGGAGATTTTAATCATGTCATGTCATGTAAATCTATAAATATAAATAAATACACCTCAGGCTGTATGTACACTAAGTTATGGTCCAACTTGCCCAAGGGGCGAAGGGCAACAGCCTTATATCCAGCTTTTACATTGGTGTATAGTAAATCAATGATCCTGTTTTTCCTGGTGGGACAATTTACAACTGCAGTCAGAGTGGAATCCAGGGCGACATGATTGATATATAACAATATAAGTGTTGTCCATTAGTGTAATATTTAACCATATTTTAGGTATTAATTCATGGCATATATTTTCCTTCAGTTAAATATGAGCAAAACTAAAGTTTTACTTTTTGTCAAAGAAATTCAAACAGAAAAACTCCCAGTTCAACTTCAAACACTGACAATGAAACATTCAGCCTCGATCAAAACTCTGTTCAGTCCTAGTCCAATACATAAGATTCAGTTCAGTCTTTTATAACAGCAAGACAGATTGCTGTGCGAACAAAAAGCTACTTCAGATCTCAAGAGCCACAATGCAGATGAGGACCAGAAAGCAAACTCACATTACACTGATTTTAAAGTTATTAGAATTGATTTCAAATGCTCTTACTGGTATTTTAAACTCTAACTGGTCTTATGTCAGCATATGTCTTGGCAATGTAATGTTTCTAGAAAAGATTTGTTGAGCTGCAAATAGAAAATTAGCTTGATAGCGACCTTGGACGGTCCAGCCAAACAATCATGCTAGAATGTTTGTATTTGTGCAAAACTAAGTTATATCTTTAAATGGGTAGTTTATCATGGTTGACCCATGTTTCTAAGGTTTGTTTTACTTCAAAATGGCGTGTTTGATAACGTTTAATAACAGGAATTAAAACTTATCAATGTTTGACATTGTCAAGCAAAATGTTTTTACATCAGGCAACAAAAAAACCCTATGAAAAACACAATATAAAATAAACAAATAGCACCTAGCCTGGTGGCCCACCAGGCTGATAATACACTGAGGAAAACCCTGTTCGGCAATATGTAGGTTTTATGTCAATAATTCTTGAATGTTGATTAAAAAAATATACCAGTTCCATTGTCAGATTTTCTTCGCTTATATAATGGGAAAAAACATTTAAAAAATTTTGAGCTTGGTATATTTTGCAGTGTGTTATATTTTTTATAATGAATGCATTGTCTTGAACCAAACCTGTGTCCACCATGAGCATGAGGTTGTTCTGAATCTGTTTGTTCTTAGTTGCTCCATTCAGTGTCTGCATGGCGCGCTCCACATACTTCTCCTTGTTTCCTCTGTTTCTGCAAACTTCAGAATACTGTTTATTTCTCTCTCTGCAATACAAAACAATGTTGAGTTAACGATAGCTTGTTCCTATCAGAGATGAAAAAGATTTAAATATTGATAAAAAAAATAAAATAAAAAATAAAAAACAATTTCCCTTACATTATGACATCTGCATCATCAGCATTCATTGACACTAAGGTGGGGGGAATGTCCAGCAGAGAAATAGTGTCTGTTTCTGTGATTAAAATGTCTTTAATCCCTTTCAACAGAGCTTGTGTCATTTCTTCTTTCACTGAGCCTTTTTTCCTCTTTTCATCAGGCAACAAAGATTCTACAAAACAGAACAATGTTAAAAAGGTGTCTTTCAGCAAGAACAGAAACACGCATAATGAAAGGAGTAAAACAAAATATATGATTTATTCTTTGAGCTCTCAACTTTTGCCAGTCAAGAAACACGGTGCATTTGGAGACGTCGGTGTCATGGATTGTGGTGGAGAGTGGTGATTGTGGTCCACCTCAACCGTAAGACCCAGGTTGAGATGGAGAAAATGATTTAATGTTGAAAATCCAAATTTACACAGTCTAAACAGAATCCAAAAAGCCCAAAAACCTGGCAGCACAGAAGAGTGGAAGGCTCGGCACTGGTAGGAACAGGCTATACACATGAACAGACAGCCAGACTGGGAACATACGACTACAAACAACTAGGAACAAAGGACATAGGTGGGGTTAAATACACAGAGGGTAATCACGGAAACAGGACAGGACAACACGGAGACTCAAAGACACAGAAAACTCAAAATAAACACAAAGAAAAACTCAAATCATGACAGTCGGCTGTCTTTCGGAAACCTGAGGCTTTTGGTAATGATCTACACTCTCAAAACAAAGAGACAGCATTAAAGTTAAAAAAAAAACCAGTCCAAGGAAACAGGTCAAAAAGTTACAGTCGGAGTGTACATCTCTAAATACAGTGGCTTGAAAAAGTATTCATACCTCCTGAACTTTTCCATAGTAATTTACATATATTTCCTTTGAGTTTTATGTGAAAGACCAAAACAAAGTGGTATGGAATTGTGAAATAGCAAAATATATATATATACTTGACTCAAAACATCAAAGTTTATAAAAAGATTTCCCAAGCTTTGAACATCTCACTGAGCTCTGTTCAGTACATCATCTGGAAATAGAAAGCGTGTGTGGAACAACAGTAATAAGACAATAAACTTCCAGCTGAACAACTTTAGTTGGACGTTTAACAAGAAGAGCTCTGATCAGAGATGCAGCCAAAAGGCCTCTGGTGACTCTGGACCAAAGGCAGAGATCTACAGCTCAGAGGAGGAATCTGTCCACACGACAACTATTAGTCATCACTGCACAAATGTGATCTTTCTGGAAGAGCGGCAAGAAGAAAAACATAACAAGTTTGCAGTTTTCCAGGAGCCATGCTGGATGCAACAAATGTGGAAGAATAAGCTTTGGTCAGACCAGAACAAAAATTCAACTTTTAGGCCGAAATGCAAAACGCTATGTGTGGAGGAGAACTAACACTGCCCATCACAATGAACACACCATGCCCGTTGTCATACATGGTGGTGGCAGCATCATGCTCTGAGGTTGCTTCTCTTTAGCAGGAACAGGGAAGACGGACAGGGTTGATATGAAGATGGATGGAGTCAAATACAGGACAATGGAGTCTACAACAGACATGAGACCCGGGTGGATTTTCACATTCCAGCAGGACAACCACCCTAAACATAAAGAGGGGCTACAATGGAATGGTTTCAAGCAAAACATATTCATGTGTTAGAATGGCCCAGTCAAAGTCCAGACCTTAACCCAGTCGAGATCTGAAAACTGCTGTTCACAAATGCTCTCCATCTAATCTGACTTAACTTGAGTTGTTTTGCAAAGAAGAATGGACAAAACTACATCAATATGGTACAGAGAGCTGAATATTTTTACACGCCACACTTCTCAGTTTTTTATGCGTAAAAAAATGTTTGAATCATGTATAATGTTTTTTCTAACTCAAAATTGTTTACCACTTGGTGCTGGTCTGTCACATCAAATTCCAAAGAAATATATTTATGTTTATGGTTGTAATATGGCAACTTCCAGAAGAGTTCATAAATGCTTTTGCAAGTTACTGTATATATCGTGGCGATGAACCTGGTAAGTTGAAGGGAAAGTCACGTCCGCAAAATGTTTCCTCCATTTCCTCGTTCACAGACTCTATGGTTGACTGGCTGGATATCCTGCTGCTACCCAAAACTGATCTGAAAAACAATGTCAGAGTAGATGTTACTACATAGTCATCATGAAACAAAGCCTCTTCCTCACTAACACACTAACACAGATTGACAGGAAAGGTGTTGAATTGTGTTTTATTTGAATTTTGAAGAGCTCAATACTGTATGTGAATGGTTTTGAGAGCTTTCTCACATTTTTCTAATGACACATGGCAGTGTCAACATGGTTGAATTTGGTGCCTTAGCATTACCTGCCACTAACTCCTAGGTTGTCCTACTAGTGCTTTAGCATTAGTAGAGCTAATGTTTATGATTAGCTCTACTAAACATTAGTTTAACATAAACAGTAGTTTGTTAAACATAAACTAATGTTAATGCTAGCTAAAAAGTTAAGTCAATATAGTCAACTTTTTAGCTAGCCGTGCCCATTGCTGCTGTTGGGCACAATGGGCATATTTCTCATATGCCCATTGAGCAATGGGCATATGACATATTGCTCATGTTAAACATGATTTAACAATGTTAGTTTTTGAAAATAGCGCTTTATAGTGCAGACCTGAAGGAAAAGATCTACATTGATGATAAAAATTAGAATTATTCCCAATACTGTAAAAGTTCTGAATGTGGAGAAGGTCAGCCATGACAATGGTCTCTGCAAACCTAATTGTTCATTGCAATTTAAACCCATCCTATTTTGAGGCAGAGTCAAGCCACAAAATGATGGATAAACACAGGGCAAACTGCATAATGGCTGCATAGAAGATGACCAGCAGCTCTTGTGAAACGTTGCCCCTCAAAAAAGACATATACAGGCTAATTTTATCAAAAAGAAGTGAAGCTAATTCAACTACGGGAAATTTCTGCTACAATGAACCGCAATGAAAGGCAGTCAGAATTTTAGTGTCTAGTTTCACGATGGAGTGCTTTTAAATCAGCAGGTAGGGGGCTGGTCTAATAAGTCTTCAAGGAATTGATTTTCTGACTTCCTCCTTATGACTGAATAGAAAACCATGTAAATCTTAAATTTTGGAGCTTTTCATTCAACTGAAGGTTTCACTATCACTACTTGCATTCTGGAGGACCAGGGTACTAAATATTGCTATCTGGGTTTGATGCTACATGTGGTGCATCTTTCTTTTTGGCCACTTTCATCTGGAACTTGGCTGGCGTGTGCTCACCATTTTTTCTTCACGCCATTACATCATTATCAATTTCAGACATGGAACTGAAGAGAACTATTATGAGCAACAAGGTGGAGTACAACTGAAAAAAATGTCTGTACAAATGACAATAATAAACATACAGCAGCTTGGACCCCTCCTGAACAGGTCAACTCCCCACCTCCTGCTGGTGCACAGTACTGAGCTCTCTTACCTTGAAAAAGGCATAGGGAAGCTCCCAGTGAATGTTGTCTGGTCTGATGTTGAGCCAGCAGAGAGTTCATCCACCAAGAACCTGCTGCCTGGCTCTGCTCCGAGATCTGCCCGGTGAAATGGCTGAGGGGTCACATCATTGTTTTCCTCATCAAACACCTGAAATTCGAGATATAGGAGAACAGTCAGCCATATCTGTTGCAGTAAACACCTCTGAACATTCAAAAGCAGCAAAATACCAAACACATTTCTTTAAATGTGTTTGGTGAGTATTCCTTACTCAGTAAATATTACACATTTCAGCATAGTTAATATGCCATAATTTTGTAAATATTCGGCTTGATTTTTTTAGGTTTTGTTATGCACTTAATTTAATAGTGAATAGGGAGAAGAAGGGGAAGACCATAATACCTGTACATGGTGCGCCACCCAGCGCCTTAGTTCAGGTATTTATGTGGTTAACAAGAACTTGTAATTATTTGTCGAATTCATTGTGTAAGTTACCCGAACAACTTGTCTCGGAGTAGGACCCGCCATTCTGTCCAGAATTTTGTTACCGCTGAAAGTAAAACTCCGTCTGCTGGACAAGGCGAGCAAGCTGCTGCCCCGTCGAGAGCTACGAAACACCATAACGGGAAATTAGCACAGCTACCACTGCTTTTATTTAACTATATATTTACGAAATTGATGTTTACAAACTGAGCTGTCAACTTACGGCTTCAGCATCACTGTACATCTCATCTTTTTCCCTTCTTTTGCTACAGAAGTAGACATGATGGAACGGCTTCTGTTGTGGCTTGTTGTCGGGGCAACACAAAGCCACTGCGGTGAAGAGGGCAAACACTGACCCCTAGTGGCCATTGAAAGTTCCAGGTTTCGTTGCTCGATCAAGGCACAGAATGTGGACTCGTTTCCAAAAATACGCCCTTGTCTGAGGAAGGAGGATTAAGGCCACTGGGGGGAAAAATCCGAATTTTGACTTTAATCTCAGATTACTGGCTTGTTTTTTCTCCATATTTTACAGAAGTGTTATCTTCCACAATAATATTCAGATCTATTAAATCACAGTACATGTCATTTCCTACGTGATTAACACCAGTAGATTTTTATCTTCAAAGCATTCAAACTTTGACTCCAGAATATATGCTTATAATACACTTAGATAATTCAAGCTAATTAACAATGTCTAGAGATAATTCAGACAAAAATAATACAATTCTTTATGTGTGCTTGATGTGTGGACACATGCCCCAAAGTTTAATTATCACATGTTAATATCACTTCAAATGCGTCAGTTATGGCTAAAGGTATTGCTATAAATTCACTACATCAGTCTGAAGATCAGGGCTGCACGCAATCTAGCAATAAACTTAGATGAATGTTCACACAATCATATATTGCTCCAAATGTTTCTTTTGATATTACCATTTCCATGGAGACAAAGAATCTCAACAGAATTGATACCCTTGAATAATTCTCTCAAAAACCATAAGTTTCTCAATCACCACACAACTACTAGTATTGCTGACTCTTTCTGAAAATGTAATCAGCTTGCAAATATATTGCAGCTCCAAATTTGCAATGGAACAAGACAGCATTTTGTAAATAACAAATTATTCAAAACTCCTCTTTCTAAGAAAAATAAAACAGAATAATAAGTTTAAATACAAAGTAAAACATTTAGTGATCTAGTAATAATACTGGAGAAATATATATAAAATTTTTTCTAATCTCCCAGTATTGACATTTTATATCAAGCAACGTATCCAAGGAGACTAAATGTGCTTTCGAGGCATTTTTTTGAAAACTTCTACCAGGCACTGAATTTTATTCTAAATTTCTGAAGAAAACAAGAAAAACTTTTTAAACCACATAAGCAGTATAACCCCCTGCAATTCAAAATATTTTAACTAACAAACTACCGAGAGAATTGTTTTCTAATGAATTTTAACATTCATTGTTGGCATTTGATTGATTTCTGTTAGGTTTTCAGATAAATACAAATATAAATATTCAAGATTAGGAGACTATAAGGGTTGAGAAACCTTTGTTTGCCCCTGGGATCTGTGTTTCTTTCATCTTTGAAGCAATGAGTTAGTCACTTTGGAGACGGATGGCCAGGGTGACACTTAGCCTGGTAGGAAGAATGAGTGGTTTGGATACAACCCAGAGTCTCGGGAACTGAACTTTACGACCCCAAAGGGGGACGGGAACTGAACCAGAGAATCCCCGGAACAGAGCAGAATGCTTGCAGTCACAATTGCCCTGACAGGAGGACAAGGGGACCACAGGTGCCAACCAGAGGGAAAGAGTTGACACCTAGCAGAAGAGTGGATCAAAGGCTAGATGCCCCAAGATAGGCACCAGCAACTCCTGACCCCGTTAGGGAGAAGGGTGCTTAGAAAATGGATGGATGGATGGATGGATGGATGGATGGATGGATGGATGGATGGATGGATGGATGGATGGATGGATGGATGGATGGATGGATGGATACAACATGCAATGATACAATGGCCTTGAGTAATTCCAGTAATTTAGTTACTTTGTGAAATCAACAGGCACACATTGATTGTTCTTTAAAGATTTTCATAAGAATGAAGTTGTGTGTTGTTATTTATTTATTTTTTAATAAAATTAAATATTTAACTTATTTCATAATATTAGCCATGGAAACTGATTGTTCGTCCTCCATTTAAAAAAAAAAACTATCAAAAATAAGCTTACATTAATTTGACATTAATTTCAAATTAATGCCCAAAAATTTGACATTAATTCAACTAATTTGACCATAATGAACTAAAAACATATATTTCCTAATCACTACACCACAGTTGAACATTCTTGACATTTTAGCAAAATTCAGTCAAGAAAAAGAATAATATGATTTGATCATAATAAGGATTTATGCTAGCAAAGTATGCTCATTGTCCTTTTTCTGTACAGCAGTCAGAATTTCTTTAAAAACACACACAAACACAAAATAAACTAAACAATTCACTAATATCTTAGTAATAACTTGCTTTCGTTTATTAAAAATAGTATGAAAATGACATTAACCTGCATGGTCACCATGCTGGTGCTTGTCCTGACCAGGATATTATAATTAGGCTTTCATTATTAACTATATCAGTTTATAAATATAGTTAATAATGCCACTCGGTCCTTCAAATGGGAAAACTTCTCTCTGCTGACTGACAAAAAAAAAAGTAAAATTCAAGATTATTAAATAATAATTAAATAATTCAAAATCAAAAATACTATATTGATCCTAAAGGGAAATTAATTCAGATACGTCAAAGAGTTATTGTGCATGGTGATGGCTATTGTCAGGAAAGATCTTTTGTAGTGGTCTGTATTACAACAAATTTGAAAAAGCCTCTAACTGAAGGTACTCTATTTTCCCTAGACGATCTCATGAAAGAGGATGGTCAGGAATGTCCATAATTCCTCCACCGCTGAGGTGGAGAAGGGCAAGGGAACACAGTTGACAAAAAAAAGAACAAAGAAAACATATTTTTATCCAACTAACAATTTTAAATATGGATGAATTTGTGGCCAAATGTCAAAGCTGTTCTTCCTTCTTGTATATTTTCTTTATTCAACCCTGTTTTCTTTTCTCTGTATTTCATTTGTCCATCAACACATGTCACACAATTTGAGTTGACCAACACCTGAAACAGATTCCCTCCTCCATCTGCTTATCTACTGGTTGTGACAGATTGCGAAGTGGTGACGCCATGATGATGACTTGATCAGATACGGGGATCAACAGGTGCAAAAGTGCAGCAAACAGTGAAACGAGCTGCAAACAGGTGAAACAGCCCAGCAAAAGTGAAATAAAAAGATTTTTTTTTTAAATTTCCAAACTGAACTGACTTATACTGGGCTGCACAGTGGCACAGTTAGTAGTACTGTTGCCTTGCAGCAAGAAGGTCCTGGGTTCGATTCCTGACCCAGGGTCTTTCTGCACGGAGTTTGCATGTTCTCCCTGTGTGTGTCCCTCCGGGTTCTCCGGCTTCCTCCCACAGTCCAAAAACATGACTGTCAGGTTAATTGGCCTTCTCAAATTCTCCCTAGGTGTGAGTGTGTGTGTGCATGATTGGTTGTCCTGTCTGTCTCTGTGTTGCCCTGCGACAGACTGGTGACCTGTCCAGGGTGTACCCCGCCTCTCGCCCGGAAGGCAGCTGGAGATAGGTACCAGCAACTCCCGACCCCGTTAGGCAGAAGGGTGACCGGAAAATGAATGAATGAATGAATGAATGAATGAATGAATGAATGAATGAATGAATGAATGAACTGACTTATACTGTCATTGAAGCCAAAAGCATGTTGGCTTCAATGACAGTATTTTGGACGTTCACAGACAGGTGCTTTAAAAACTCTTAAGAGTAGAATATTCACATGCTGGCCCACTCTAGATAAAGTGCATGTTAAGGTGGAGCCAATGTAATAGGGCTAAAGGCTAGAAATAAAACACATTTTTTCTATCAAAATTTGAGTAGTATACAACAATTACACAAACAAGCAGATGTTATCTGCCCAAATGTCAACATTGACTGATAAAAGTCACTATGCTTATCAAGGATGAATTAAAATTGTATACTTAGTAAAATATTTTCATCTCAAAACAGCAACTATCCAAATGTGAAGACAATGTCTTCAGGCTCAGACGGTGAGTCTGAGCCTGAAGTCTATATGATGCACTCTGCTGAGGAAATGTATCAATTTCAAATTAGTTGTTTTCTCAATCCTGTTTTGTGCCTCTGTTATTTGAAATAACTGTACACCTCATGTTTTACAGTACAGACAACGTGACTGCATATCACAACAACACAGCTGTAGAAATTGCCCATGGACCTTGTCTGCTTAATAACTGTGGACTCTGCTATTTAGATAAGATGCATATAAATAGGAGACATTCGTAAGCTCTCTCAAACACTGCATGTCAGAATCTTTTTCATCAAGTTAATGAAAAGCTTCAAGAAAACAAAGTAGGAGACTAGAGAGAAACCAGAACAAAGAAGACTAGCAGTCAAAGCAGGTTGGTGTTAGACATGATGTGCTAACGTTATTTTATGTCACATATGTTATCTAAGAAGGTGCAGCCGCAGGAGACTTTAGGGCTTCATTTTTAAGCATGAATTGAAAGCAGACCATTCAGGTATTTCATATTTTGTTTCCCTCCAGGATGAGGCCTGATCATAAGGATGGAGGCCAAAATCAAAAGCAAGAACAAGACTTTTATCTGGGCTGTCTAACCAAGAAACAGTTGATAATGTTATCAACTGCTGTTGGACTTCTTATCCTGGGCATCATTATTGTCCCTGCTGTGATTCTCACCAGACCAGGAACCAAAGGTACAAACTCTGTTATTCTGTTCACTTTTTGTTCTTATAAATTAAAATCCAGCTATGTCCTGAGATGACAGTAAATTTCACATACAAAATATATGAATTCAGTGTGGTTATGGTTATCACTAAATTGAAAGAGTTTTATTGATAAAATGCCTGCAAGTAGGTATCCAATGTGTTAAGTTAAAGGTAAAGCACAACCACTTCTAGAATAGATGGTTCTATCAGTTTCATCTCCTGCTACTGGATTAGTTATGTACTTAATGTAATATTGTCAGAACCTATCTAAAAACGTTGCAATTTTTGCTGTTGTAAAGTGATAAAACTGGAGTTAAAACCAATTACTGCTCAGATTTTTCTTGAACCTATAAATATGAACAATAACCATTTCTGTCATCAGAGACGCACTTTGAGGTCACATCTTTAGTTTACTTCTTTTATGTTTAAATAGGAAGCCCTGTTATTTCATAGTATTTACAAAATGGACAAACAAGTTGGCAGCCTTCTGATAATGACTAATAATCCAACAATGGTTATTGTGACGGAGGAGCCGTCACGATCGGAGAGTCCCTGTTAGCAAAATGCACAATTCTAAACTTACCTGTTTCTTTTCCTTTTAGTTTGGATTGAGGCGATTCATCGTGTGTGCACACGCGGTGTTTTCGTTTGACGTTCATTCTAATCGGTTATTTTCAGGTAGATGTTTTTCCGGTTTTCTTTGGGGAATTTGTTTCCAGCTTGGAGCGCACCGGGAGCCAATTATGTGATGTGTAGTCATCACAATGTGCTGGTTGTTTTTGTTCTTTGTTTGGGTGTATTTTGATTATAAATTTATTTATTTTTTCTTCCTTATTGTTATTGTTATTTCAAGGATTTGAGTTAGAAATAATTGTTTAGTTTTTGTTTTGTTTAGTTTTGTTTTGTTTGATGGGACTTCCTCTGGGCGGAGCCTGTAGCTATAAAAGCAGGGCTCTGTTTCATAGAGGGCAGTCGGCACCTAGGCGTGAGAAGTGTCACATTGGAGGTGATGAGCTGCGACTTGAAGGTACTGCTGTGCTGTGTTGATTTTTAAATCATCTTGGACATTTTTGTAAATATTATGCATTTGCCACTGTTGATTCACTGCACTGATAAAAAAATAAATCTCACTAAAGTAATCCCTGGCCTTGGCCCGTCATTTTTTTTGTGGTGGCCCAAGTCATAAAAGAACCCCGTCACATATGGTGTCAGAAGTGGGATTATGACAAGCCGGGGAAGAGGGTCTCGTTTGGTGAAGCAAAGATCTGGTCTTCTATCACAATTAAAGATGGAAGAGCAGATGGCTGACAAAGCATTGGAGAGCATGCCGACGTCGGATGGATCAGATGAGGAAGGTGAAACAAAGCCTGGCCCCAGTGGATCAAGTGCGTTTGGCAGTGAGTTTTTCACTTTGATGAAGGACTTTATGGCAGGTCAGCAAAAGCGAGAGAAAGGGCTGCTCAAGGAACTGCAAAATCTTAGGATGTCTTTGCAGCAACCACAGCAAGTACCACGCCCTCACCTTCAGCCAGGAGCTGGTGCAGAGCAAAGTGATGACGATGATGATGGTGGTGGTGACGATGGTGATCCAAGCCGGCAACCCCAGCCAATAAGTTACACCACTGATCCAAAAATTCCTCCTTATCAATTAGGAGAAGACCTGGAAAACTATCTGCTGCGGTTTGAGCGCATTGCTAAGACCTGGAGGTGGCCAGAAAGTGAATGGGCGTGCCGACTCATTCCACTCCTTTCTGGGAAGGCGCTGGAGGCCTATGCTGCCATGGATGAGGAATGTGCTCACTGCTACAAGGACTTGAAGACTGCTTTGTTAGCAAAGTTTGACATCTCACCAGAGACTTACAGACAGAAGTTCAGAGCAACAAGTACACCTGCTGGTGAAACTCCTACTGAAACTTACCACCGTCTTAGAGGTCTCTACCGACGATGGATCCGTCCAGACCAGTGTTCCAAAGAGGACATCGGGGAGCTCATCATCCAGGAACAGCTGCTGAGCGTTCTGCCCCCGGATGTAAGGACCTGGGTGAAGGAACATGAACCTAAGGATGGTCTGACTGCTGCAAAGTTGGCTCTTCAGTACATGAATGCACGGCGAGGAGGAGGAGCACGTTGTTCCAATCCAGTACCACGTCCTGTTCAACCGGCTGGACATCAACGGTATGCCAGAGATCCAAGCCAGGAGGTTAAAGGTACCATCAGTCCTCTGAATCCACCGCCTAATGGTAAGACATTAATTTGCTATTATTGCCAGCAGCCGGGCCACAAGGCTTCGGTGTGTCCAATAAAGAAGACAAAGTTTACTGGTTCCTGCTATGCTCCTAGAGCTGAAAATCAGACTGGAGTCAAAAACTTTGAAACTAGAACTCAGAAAACTGTGATTGTGAATGGACTGCAGGTGACTGCATTAATAGACAGTGGTAGTTCCACATCACTCATAAAAGAGAGTCTTGTATCTGTTGGATGTGTGAACTATGAAAAGAAGACTGAGATTTTGTGTGTGCATGGAGATTGTCATGTGTATCCAAGAGCAGAAGTGACTGTCATTGTTGATGATCAACCATATTTGCTAACTGTTGGTGTGGTGAAAAACCTACCTTTTGATGTCATTTTGGGTACAGATTTACCTGTGATGTTTCACCTTTTGGGAGAGGTACAAACTGAGGGGGACAAAGTTAGCAATGCGTCCTGTCCTGTGATTACTCGTTCTCAGGCCAAAGAACAAGTTGAATCCTTACCTAATTTTGATGATAGTTTGTTTGAGGTTCCAAAATTGTCTAGAAAATCCAGAAAGCAAAAAAAATTTGAGAAAAAGCTACTGCTGGGTGGAAATGTGTCACAAGATTTAACAGTGGATGACATGTGGAAGATACCTGAAAATATTGCTACTTTACAGAAACAGGATGTGTCTTTACAACCTTTATTTGACAGAGTGGAGGAAAAAAACTAATGCTAAGTGGAGAGGAAGAGAAACGTTTGTGTTAAAAGATGGCGTGTTGTATGCTTGTAATGAAAAACAACGGTTGGTAGTTCCAACTAGTTGTAGGGCACTTGTCATGCATTTGGCACACACCATTCCATGGGCAGGGCACTTGGGGCATCAAAACATTTATGCGTGTCAGCTCACGTTTTTACTGGCCGTCAATGTATAATGACATTAATGCATTATGTGCTTCTTGTCCTACATGCCAGAAGACTCGTCCTGCTCGGAAATCAGATCGGGCGCTCCTCCAGCCACTACCTGTCATCTCTACTCCTTTTCGTAAGGTTGCAATGGACATTGTTGGACCCCTAGTGAAGAGTGGGCGTGGTCATCAGTACATCTTGGTAGTATGTGACTATGCCACCAGATTTCCAGAAGCTTTTCCACTGCACACAATTACTGCTCCTACAGTAGTTAGAGCTCTGGTCCAACTATTTTCAAGAGTTGGAGTCCCAGATCAGATTTTGACCGACCAGGGAACTAATTTCACCTCTAATCTGCTAAAACTCTTTCATAAACAGCTTGGGATCTCAGCCATCAGGACAACGCCTTACCATCCACAGACTGATGGACTGGTTGAAAGATTCAACCAGACGCTAAAGAGGATGCTGCAGAAGTTTGTGAATGACACTGGCAGAGATTGGGACCGCTGGTTACCATTCCTTCTCTTTGCCTATCGTGAGGTGCCACAGGCATCAACCGGGTTCTCCCCATTTGAACTCCTGTATGGGTGGGATGTTCAAGGACCTCTAGACCTGCTGAGGAAAGGCTGGGATGCATCAGAAACCTCATCTAGTGCCAAAGGTGTGGTCCAGTACGTGCTGCAGATGAGAGGTCGGCTTGCTGAGTACCAGGAAGAAGCTGAGAAGAACCTGTTGCAGGCCCAGCACAAGCAAAAGAGGTGGTATGACCAGCAGGCACGGCAAAGGGTCTTCAGTCCTGGACAGAAGGTGTTGCTTCTCCTGCCCTCATCCACCAGCAAACTTTTGGCAAAGTGGCAAGGACCCTATACTATCAGCCGACAGCTAGGACCCACCACCTATGAAGTCTACCATCCTGAGAAAAAGAAAGCTACACAGGCTTACCATGTGAACTTGCTAAAGGAGTGGAAAGAACCATCATGTCCAGCTCCAGAAACATCATGCCTGTTGAGACAAGTGGAGGAGGAAGAAGAGGTTCCTGGTATTGAAGTGAAGGCTGGACAGTCAACCCCCAACCTCAGTCACTTGACCTCACACCAAGCCTCACAACTTCAGCAGATCTTTCAGAAACTGTCTCCTCTCTTTTCTTCCAATCCAGGCCGGACCACCTTGATTGAGCATGCAATTCGACTGAAAGAGAAGCAGCCAATTCGTCAACGCCCATATAGAGTTCCACAGCAGTTGGTGGGACAGCTGCGAGATGAAGTCGAGGCCATGCTAACATCAGGTATTATTGAACCTTCAAACTCTGAATGGTGCAGTCCAGTGGTCATTGTGTGGAAGAAAGATGGCTCACTGCGGATTTGCATTGACTTCAGAAAGCTTAATGCAGTTTCAGAGTTTGATGCCTATCCCATGCCCAGGGTGGATGAGCTGCTGGAAAGGATTGGAAAAGCAAAATTCATTACCACACTTGACCTGTGTAAAGGGTACTGGCAGGTTCCCTTGGAGCCTTCAAGCAGACAGTATACAGCATTTCGCACCCCTTCTGGTCTGTTTCAGTTTACTGTTATGCCATTCGGCCTGCATGGTGCTCCATTCACCTTCCAGCGGCTAATGGACAAAGTACTGCGAGGAAGTGAAGACTACAGTGCTGCTTACCTCGATGATGTAATCATTTACAGCAATAGCTGGGAGGAGCATGCTGCACATCTCGCAAGAGTGTTGGAAAAGATTGCAGAAGCAGGACTGACACTTAACATATCAAAGTGTGTTTGGGCACAACAGGAGACCAAATACCTGGGTTACCAGCTAGGGAGAGGAGAGGTGCGACCACAGATGGACAAAGTGGAAGCAATCCAAAAATGCCCTCGTCCTCGAACCAAGAAGGAAGTGCGGTCATTCCTGGGACTAGCTGGTTGGTATCGAAGGTTTGTGCCTCATTTTGCTACACTTGCTTCTCCACTCACCAGTTTGACAGCGAAAGATCAGAAGAATCCTGTTGTGTGGACCAAGGAGTGTGAAACTTCTTTTAACACTCTGAAAGCTCATCTATGTTCATCTCCTGTCCTTCGAAGTCCTGATTTTAGTAGGAAATTCCTGGTCCAGGTAGATGCATCCAAAGTTGGCCTCGGAGCTGTCCTGGCTCAAGGAGATCCTGGAGAGGAGCAACGCATACTCTACCTGAGCCGTAAGCTACTACCTCGAGAGGTGAGGTATTCTGTAGTGGAAAAAGAAGGCCTGGCAATTAAGTGGGCTCTGGAAAGTCTCAATATTATCTGCTGGGCAGAGAATTTGATTTGGAGACAGACCATCGGGCCCTGACCTGGATCAACACCATGAAAGACAGTAACCATCGTCTGACTAGGTGGTATTTGCCCTTGCAACCTTACAAATTTAACATCTGTCATAGGAGTGGCAGACTTAATAAAGTGGCAGACTTTCTTTCTAGGTTGCCGAATTTCGCCAACCTTGGAGAGGAGAGGGGTGGGTGTGACGGAGGAGCCGTCACGATCGGAGAGTCCCTGTTAGCAAACATGCACAATTCAAACTTACCTGTTTCTTTTCCTTTTAGTTTGGATTGAGGCGATTCATCGTGTGTGCACACACGGTGTTTTCGTTTGACGTTCATTCTAATCGGTTATTTTCAGGTACATGTTTTTCCGGTTTTCTTTGGGGGAATTTGTTTCCAGCTTGGAGCGCACCGGGAGCCAATTATGTGACGTGTAGTCATCAGAATGTGCTGGTTGTTTTTGTTCTTTGTTTGGGTGTATTTTGATTATAAATTTATTTATTTTTTCTTCCTTATTGTTATTGTTATTTCAAGGATTTGAGTTAGAAATAATTGTTTAGTTTTTGTTTTGTTTAGTTTTGTTTAGTTTGATGGGACTTCCTCTGGGCGGAGCCTGTAGCTATAAAAGCAGGGCTCTGTTTCATAGAGGGCAGTCTGCACCTAGGCTGAGAAGTGTCACATTGGAGGTGATGAGCTGCGACTTGAAGGTACTGCTGTGCTGTGTTGATTTTTAAATCATCTTGGACATTTTTGTAAATATTATGCATTTGCCACTGTTGATTCACTGCACTGATAAAAAAATAAATCTCACTAAAGTAATCCCTGGCCTTGGCCCGTCATTTTTTTTGTGGTGGCCCAAGTCATAAAAGAACCCCGTCACAGTTATTAAAATAACTTCAAGCCAAGAAGTCATTGTGCTGTTTGGTGACATGGTGCGTAATACACTGAACATGGAGGACAGGACGTGAAGGAGAGCGTTGTCCTGGGAGATTAAAATAAGAATGATAGAGCAGCATGTTTAATGGTTAAGTCTATGAGATCATCTCCAAGCAGCTCAGTGCCCCTGTGACTACAGATGCACTGATTTTTCAGAAATGTAAGGTCCACAGGACTGCAGTCAATCTTCCTGGCCACGGCTGCAGTGATGACAAATAAAAGAGAAAGATTATGTGACTGGTATGCAAAGAGTCAAGAAGAACCGGCAGAAATTGAAGGTGAACTCCAAGGTCAAGGTACATCAGTGGCAGACCACACCATCTGGCATCAGTTGAGCCAAAGTGGGCCTCATGGAAGACAACCAAGAAAGAAATTTGAAAGAGGCAGTATTACGTGTTTTCCAGGCACATGGATTCAGACCAGATCTTATGTATTTGTGTGTTTCTGGTGCTCCAATGAATTTAATTTTTGCTTTAAAAAATAAGGTCTGATGGGACAGTGGAAAAACCTATTGTGCTAAAAGGAGTTGGCCTATCAGCGTAGTTATTCAAACCTACGATGGCATTTCAGTGTAAATTTTGGCCTTTGAGGACTGCAGTTTGGAACTGATTTCTATAGAAAAGGAATAGCCTCAAAAATAAACTAGTATTCATCATAAATTTACACACCTTTTGAAGTTTTGTTTATTAGTCTGACTGCTAAGATGATTGGTGCGGTCATTTGGCTTTTTAATCATTCATTTTAAGTCATTGAAATCAAATCTGTAATTTTGTAGATTCATTTGACAGATCTCATGGCTTGTATTTGACTCTTTGTTTGACCCAGTTCCAGTTCCACTGTTTCCAACTGGTGGAGACATGCTGGACTTCCTGGTTCAGTCAGGTGAAATCAGTGAACAAGATGGTCTCTTGGCAACCTGGTTCCACCGAGCCAACAGCAAGGAGCAAATGAACATGGCTCTGGCATGTAAGAGCACATAGATGCAGTCATAGCAGTATTTTGTCCTTGGTTTATATTCTGAACAATTGTAACAAAATACTCATCACAAAGTATGATTCTTAGAAAATACAGCTGTTTTTTTCCCTTCCTTCAAGCTGATGCAATGATCCTAGAGGCAGACGTTACTCTGGAGGGTTATGGAACTCCCAATCAGAAACTAGTACCGATCATGGCTCACCCTCCTGATGTCCATAGTGACAACACCCTGGACCAGTGGCTGGATGCTGTATTGGACTCTCGAAAAGGTGCAGATCACACCAAAGAAACAGTATTTGTGTGGCAGATATGATTGAAGTTTTATTGGTTTGCATCAACTTTCAGGCATAAAACTTGACTTCAAGGCTCTGGACTCTGTGGGTGTCTCTCTGGACCTGCTCAAGCAAAAGAACAGCAGCAGAGGAATAAACAGGCCTGTGTGGCTCAATGCAGACATCCTTCTAGGTCCCAATGTACCAAACTTTGTGTCTCCAGTCAATGGAACCAGGTCAGAATTCTTACAGTTTAAAAGTGAAATTATTTTAGTTACTTTTATTTTAAGTTTAAGTTTATTTGATAGCGACAGACACACATCTACATAGACAAACTGAACAGTAGTCCCATATTTGCATCTTAGTGCAATAGCAACAGCTAATTCGCAGCACTTGTCCCTAGATGGGCTTTTAAAAAGTACCTCTAAAAAATTTAAGTGATAATTATTTAAAGTAGCACAACATAATGTTGACAACATCTACAAACAAACAGTGAATCATAAAACATTAAACATGGATACAGTTCTGTTTTTGACATAACCAGATTTTTGTTTGTTTTTTGAATGTACTGAAATTGGATATGGACTTTAAATCAAGAGGAAGTGAGTTCCAACTGCAGATCCTCCCCCAGACAGAGCATTTTGAGCAAAAGTGGCTCTTCAAAAGGGAACCTTACAATTTCCCTCTAAAGCTGCTCTAGTAGATCTGCTGTTGCCCTGCAGTCTCTGTATGCAATCGCTTAATGGATGCATATCCATTTAAATACTGAAAAATCAATTTTAAAAGATTATTATTATTATTATGAAAGTCCAAAATGCCAAATTTAGTCATAATGTGACAATAGAATCTGAATGGCTTTTAATATAAAACCTTTAAATCCGATTATAGAGACTTGCTAATGGTTTGAGTTTGAGTAAACAATGGTGTCATCAGCATACATTTGCAGATTAACTTCAGGACAAATTTCAGGAAGACTGTTAACATATAGACTAAAAAGGACTGGACCTAGGATAGTTCCTTGTGGAATCCCTGATACTATTTTGCAGAAGACTTATTTACTATTAATAATGACAACACATTGTTCACAATCTTTCAAATATGATTGAAAGCAAAACAATCATATTTGTCTTGGTCTAGGATCGTTCTCATTCTGATCATTCTGAGAAATTAAAAGATGAAAGCCTTGAGATCAGTAAATTGTGATTCACCATATCAAACGCCTTTTTCAAGTCAAGGAAAACGGCACCAGTGATTTGTTCCCTATCAAGTGATTGTTTTACCGTTTCAAGCAGCAGACTTATAGCAATTTCTGTGGAATGATTACGTCAGAAGCCAAACTGAAGAGGATGCAGAAGATTGTTACCTTCTAATTACAATAATAATTGTTCTAGAATAATTTTCTCCAGCACCTTTGACAAGACCGGAACAAGACTTATTGTCAGGAAGTCATGTGGCCTTCCTGATTTAAAAAAAGGTTTCACCAAAGCTTTTTTCCATGCATTGGGAAACTGCCCTGTTCTGATGAAAATATTAACTATGGATTTAATGGAGTTCTTGTATTTTTTAAAAACATAGTGTCTAAATCACACATGTGCTTCAGAATTCCTTAAGCTATTGATATCTTTTTGAACGTCGGAGTAATGAATTTCCTTCATCTCAAACAAATCAGAAAACTGGTTGGTTTCATAACGTGTCTATCTACTGGACCTGGTAGAAACTTTGATGCCAAGTCTTTAATGATTATTTTCTCTCTTTAGTTAAACCTTGTTGCTAGCTAAGCAAGATCAGTTATGAAGCAAAGCTGTTAGTGAATTGCTGTTTTACATCACTTTCCCAGATTTCTTCAGTTGATTCAGAAGACATTGCCAGATGTGACTTTGTCTCCTGGATGGAAGGTGTGTATGTTCATGACCTAACAAGAACATCACACATCACTTTGATGTTCTTGTTTTATGTTTTCAGCCATTATAACTCCTGTGAGTGGAGTGAGTGTTGCAATGACTTCTACAGTTCTGCAGTCAATATCTTGGTTCCTTCCTAGTCCCTAGGATATTTTTCTTTAAATCACTCTTCATAAATGTATCCAGTTTGTGTTGGTGGTGGCAGACAATCACAACAGAATTATGATTCAATAACTTGTAGAACAGGAGTCTCAAACTCCAAACCTAACACAAACTTGTTAGTCTACATTTTGCCTCTTGAGATGCAGAAGTGAAGACTCTTGTCAAGGATCTCCTGTCTTCTGGGTCATGCAAAGGTCACGGAATAGAGGCTGTCTGTGTTCTCACAAACTGAGCTCATGCCAGATGTGACTTGGAAAGTAAGCATCTTAAAACATGCATGTAAATTGAATCTTCAAAGCTTTGGCCAAGACCCAGAAATGTAACAAGACCCAATCTGCCATGAGATTGCCATGTGGATATTGTGCTGTTGATGATTCAGTGGAATTATTTTACTGTTACTTATGATTTTATCAGTTTCCAGAGTTCAATGTTGAATCAATAAATAGGTTAGAGCCAGGCCCTGTGTTGTTATAAGCCCAAGTCATCAGCCTCTCCACCATGCTTAACAGGTAGTATGATGTGCTGATATGGTGTTTTAGTTTTTTGCCAAACTTATCAGTATGTAAACTATCTAAGAACAGATGTCTCTGCTTTAGATTCATTTTCACTAAAGAACATTGTTCTGGAATATTTTTGTTGTGTTGTATTTTTAGTAGAGTGTATTTCCATAAAATGTCACTAATTAGAAAGGAAAGCTGATGCAAAACTGTTGTCAGGGCTTTAATGGCTGAGGTTCAGCTTTGAATCCTTTGTCTGTGTAATAGATCATTTTTATAAGGAATGATTGCGTCCTCATTTACAGTTAACATCACTATATTTCTGACAGGTTCTCTATATTCCTCATATTACTATGGAAACGTATTCTAGAGACATGGTGGAACACATGTATCATCTGATCAAAGATGTCCCTCAGAAGGTGAGAGGAAATAAACATCTGTGGGTAAAACTGGGTGTAGAGTTCTGTCATAGGTCAGCACAGCTGAAACAGCAGATGAATGTTAGTTTAATTTGCTGCTTTAACCTATACACAATTCCTTCAAAATCAGAAGGAATTAAATCTGACTTTATCTCATCAGTTTATTGCGTTAGGTCAATAGCTGAGACATCAGCACCCCTCCCTAGCCCACTAGGGTATGAAACGGTATGTATGTATGTATGTATGTATGTATGGATGGATGGATGGATGGATGGATGGATGGATGGATGGATGGATGGATGGATGGAGGATGGATGGATGGATGGAGGGAGGGAGGGAGGGAGGGAGGAGAGAGAGGAGAGAGAGAGAGAGAGAGAGAGAGAGAGAGAGAGAGAGAGAGAGAGAGAGAGAGAGAGAGAGAGAGAGAGAGAGAGAGAGAGAGAGAGAGAGAGAGAGAGAGAGAGAGAGAGAGAGAGAGAGAGAGAGAGAGAGAGAGAGAGAGAGAGAGAGAGAGAGAGAGAGAGATTAGGTCAACATAACAATGGTAGCCACCTTTGTTTGTGTTAATCTGGTCTGCCCCATCAAAGAGTAACATATGTGAATTTCTCCCCTGAAATGACATTCACCATTTATGCTATTCAAATGTATTTAAATAAACATTTATTTTTCAAATTTCCTAAAAAATGTATAGCACAGTTTTATTTTTTAGCAATTACTGAAGGACTGTAACAGTAACTTTCTGGTCATTCAGCTGAACATTGATTCTCTGTAGGTGACATTCCCAGTTCATGCTCTGCTGGTCCACAGAGGATGGCAGCACATCAGCTGGCTCCTCAGCCAGTCACCAAGGTACCAAACAGCACCATCCTTACAAGGATCACAGCGTATCAGTCACACAGACATGTGTGGACAGACCTGAAGCTTGATTCAGCAACTAAATTCAGCGGATCTTAAAGTTGGTCATTCTGATAAGTTTAAGCTGTGCATGTTTTTTTAGGTTCAGCTTGACTCTGTGGCAGGGTTCAGATCATCCAACCGTCAGTGACCTGCTGTTTGTCCGGGACAACACCCAACCTGCACAAGTCTACTACGATATCTATGAACCTACGCTGACTGCGTTTAAAGAGGCCGCAAGTAAAGAATCATGCTCATTGTTCAGGCAGTACTTGTGATGTAGATGGAATAATCCCATAACAGAAAACTTCACAAATTAATTTGTTTACATATGGAAAATAAATGTTTTTGTCTGAGCATTATTTTCACAAATTCAGAGAATGACAACCTCAAAGCTGCTGCGCACTTGCGCACCGCTCGCACATTCTCAGCGCACAATAAAATCTATGAAGCTCATAAAATAAAATCCAACGTAAACTATGCATTGAGCTCAGATATCAATTGTAACTTTGGACCAATGATATAAACCAAACCAGGTGTCCAGCCAATGATACGATACGGTCCACTTATGCCCGTGAGAGCTGTGGCACCCACGGGCATGCAGATTTGCTAGGTAGAAAAAGCTTGATGGAGTTAATAGACTCAGGCAGTGAGACATCCACTCATCAAGTTAAAAAAGAATGGGCGTCTTTAAGATGGAATGGCTGTCAGAGCTTGTGCAAATCTCGAAGAACAAGTAGTGAAACTGGGTGACATTGTTTCGGTTTCGAGTGAGAAAGGTTTACTCTGCAAAACATGCAGCGAAGCCAATGTAGCAAGCGTGTTTTCAAAGGGAAAAATGTGGATAGGATGGAAGTTGGACTACCTCAGGAGAAAAGTAATTTGAATGCTATTGGAATTCTACAAAGAATAAAGACAAATCCATGATCACATGGCAAAGTAGGAGAGAATACTGGAAAGCTGGCGAAGCAAAAACTATGCTTTTGAATTTGTAAACTCAATCAATGAGATCATGGAGAATGAGTCTATGTGCAATGTCAAAAATGCACCCAGGTATACCCTCTTAGTAGATGACAGCACAGACATAACAGTACACAACATGCTAGTCCAGTGGTTCTTTACCCTTTTTGAGGTACCGAACCCACCAGTTTCATATGCACATTCACTGAATCCTTCTTTAGTGGTAAATAAAATGTTTGTTTGTTTTTTTTTTTAAATTCCAGACATTGGTATTTTCCTTTTTTTATTGGTGCACAAAATAATCTGTGCATGAACATCACCTGTCTCAAAGAACAAAACCAACACAGTGCATGAACTCACAACAAATTATGGTACTACTTTATTCTGGCCCTCAAAATATTTTGGCCCCATAAAATAATTTCAGCCCCCCAAAATATTTTTTTTCTTTACTTTTTCTCTCACCAGCCGGCTGAGATTTACCTCATGACACAAAGACATAAAAATTGCAAATGAAACCCTATTGACTCATTTTCTATACGAATATCCATCAGTTATATCAGAAATGATAAAGTGATGGAAAACCTAATGCAGTTTCTTCCTCAGTGAGATTCAGACACTGGAAGCAGGTTGCTGGTTTCTCAGTCAGAAGCTGGTTACAAACCTGAGGCCATCAGGTATCAGTCAGTTATGGTAGATCTGAAATTTGGTTTGATGACGTCAATATGAGAAACTACAGATTGATAGGAGGAACCAAAGAGCTCTGCAGAGGTAAAGGCAAATATTCTAAATCTGGGATATAATTAATTTAATTTCACATAATCATTGTGGTGGAAGCCATTTGTTTAAAACTTTATCAAATATATTTGTCCTATCTGATGTTTGGTGTGATATTTACTGCAAATGAACGAGGTAATTAGTCCAAGTTTGTCATTTATTGAACATTTAGAAACTACAGTGGCTGTAATGAACCACAGCGAAGGTAAACAAAGGTAAAACAACCCGAACAGATGATCAACTCAAAACCTCCAACCGTTGCCACAGCACACCCGTTGCTGTTGCAACGGGTGTGCTTAACCCCGTGCCCCGCAAGCCGTGCAAAGATTACATCAAAAACATTCAGTCCGTTACAATATCAGTTTTATGTCTCGATTATTACGTATATACTTCGAAGACCTCTTCAATCCCACCAACATGCCTTCCATTGAGGAAGCTGAGCCTGGGGACTCTAGGTCAGGCTCTCCGATCTCTGGGGACGAGGTCGCCAAGGTAATTCAAAAGCTCCTCGGTGGCAGGGCCCCAGGGGTGGATGAGATTTGGCCGGAGTTCCTTAAGGCTCTGGATGTTTTAGGGTTATGTTGGCTGATGCGACTCTGCAAATTAGCATGGACATCAGGGGCAGTTCTCCTGGATTGGCAGAGTGGGGTGGTGGTCCCCCTGTTCAAAAAGGGGAACCGGAGGATGCGGTCCAATTATAGAGGGCTCACACTCTTAAGCCTCCCTGGCAAGCTCTATTCAGGGGTCCTGGAGAGGATGGTCCATCGGATAGTCGAACCTCAGATTCAGAAAGTTTCGTCCTGGTCGTGGAACACTGTACCAGCTCTACACCCTCAGCAGGGTCCTGGAGGGTGCATGAGAATTCACCCAACCGGTCCACATGTGCTTTGTGGACTTGGTGAAGGCATTCGACCGTGTCCCTTGGGGAGCCTTATGGGAGGTTTTCCGGGAGTTTGGGGAACACCTTGGGATTCCCTTGGAAGAGCTGGAACAAGTGGCTGGGGAGAGGGAAGTCTGGGCCTCCCTTCTTAGGCTGCTACCCCCATGATCCGACCCCAGATAAGCAGAAGACAATGGATGGATGAATGTGCTAGTCATGTATATTAAATGCAAGGAGGAAAATGATGTGAATAAAAGAGTGTGTTTGGTGGCATCATCCAGCTGACAGGATGCACTGCTGAGGATATTGTGGAGGCAATAACTCAATTTTATTTCAAATATGAACTGGACATGCAGAGAATGGTGATACTAACCTCTGATGGTGCTTCAGTAATGCTAGGAAAATGCAATGGAGTTGCAGATTGTTAAAGCGCCAAATACCATACCTAATTGACACAACATTGTGTGGCCCATAGAAAGCACTTGGACATTGATGATGCCTGGAAAGATGTGCCTTTGATGAGAGATGTAGAAACTCTTTTTAGAACTGTGTATTTCACTTTCTCTGGGTTAACTGTGAAGAGGAAAAAAACGAGGATCTAGCAAGGACTCTTGATGAAGATACTCTTTCGTTCAGGCCTCTGAACAAAGTGTGATGGGTTCGCAGCATCAAGCTGTGAATGCTGTTTTGAGGAATGACACTGTGCTTGAACAATGTTGCAAAAGAGAATTCACTGATAACAAAGATCCAGTGGCAAAGTACTGCTGCAAAAAGCTGAGTGATTCCAAGTTCAAAGATACTCTCACTACTCAGGGAGATGCTTTAGCAGAGATGGCACAACTCTTACCTTTCCATTCAAAGACACAACCTGACTGTGCTGGAAGGACTCTGCTTTGCAAGAGCAAAGATTGTTAGAGCAGAAATACTTTTTAAGGAGTTGTTTTTGTAGGAAAAGACTGCTGACGCCAGAAGGTCAATCTGACCTGGGAAAAGCACAAAAGTTGGAACAAAACTCGGGTTGGGAAGTAAACTGTTTAGATAAATAAGAACAACAATTGTGATTAATTGACTTGTTTTGCAGTTCTGGTGTGGAGCAGATGTTCAGATCAAGAGGTCATTAGTATTTCGGGGAAACTCCAACACACACTCAATCAATGGGCAGGCAGAATCTTGACGCAAAACCAACATAGATATTTGGATTGGTCAAAACTTCTCTCAAACCCTTGACCCTTGACGTCATTGGAAGCTATAAAAATGTCTGTAGAACGGTGGAGATTTTTTGGAGATTTTCTAGAGATTTTTGGTGATTTGTACTTTGAGATTTGAGAAACAATGTTTTGCATGATGCATCTGTGGTAGATGTGTAAATAAATCTCCTGACCCGTCATGGCTGGCAGTAAGAACTCATCTCTGTGGTTTGTTATGTTTATCCATATATTTGAGAGTTTTGCGCCTCACAATTCTCCAATGAGATTGAGAAGTTACATTCCCAATACTTGAAGGCGAAGAACGTACAGTGGAGTAACCACGTCAAAGAGGCAATGGAGACTTCATCAGGTGATGGCAGAAATACTGGTGAGATTACTCTGTTTATTAGTAAGCTCTATGATCACATGGATGCTTGTTTTCCAGAGGATGAATTTGACATGGAAGCACTGAGCTCAGACATCAGTTTTTACTATGGATCAACAGGCATTTCTATTTACACTGGCAAAGAAATATGACGCAATTCTCCCCCACCCACAATCTATGGAGGCCATTAACAGTCTATATGTTGAATTCAAGTACATTATGAAGCAAAAATGTAAACATTCTCAGATATGGTGGCTGCAGTACTTAAATGTGAGGCGGTAAAGGAGATCTGACAGCTTGCGGATATTTGTGCTACATTTCAAGCATCCAGTGTTGATTGTGAAAGAGGATTTAGTTTAAAACAGCATCCAGAAATCGTCTTGAAGTGAACCATAGTGAACTTGATGTACATAAAGTGAAAGCAAGAAACAGGCGGAGCCATCAACCTGGTCAAAGTGTGCAACCATTGGAGAAGTGAGAAAGACAGACGTGAAAAAATTGTGTAATTAAATATTTTACAGACAGAGTTACAAGAATGTATACAGTATCACAATGTGAATGTTTTAATGTGAACAAAAAGTTATGTCTGAAAGGTGTACTGTCTCATTTCTCGCCATGGCCAGAGTAGGACTCTTACATACTATAACATACTATGCGTCTCATGAACAGGAATGTCTTTGCTTTTTAATTTTAAATCACTTATATAAAAAGCCAACACATGGAAGTTGCTGCTGTAATATGATTCTTTTGAAAAGCCATGCAACTTTAAATGATCCCAGATTTATAAAAGGTGTAATACTGGTGTGTGGCCTCAGTGTGCTCAGGCAGCTTGTGTGTATATTCAGACACATAAAAAATTAGAGAAAACATTAGTGACAACTAAAAATACAGGGAGTAAATGATGAAGCATAACTTTGACTTGGAATTCTTAAAAATCTTCTTTTAAAACAAAAATATGCCAAGAAATTATGACTGGGTTTGGAAATGCTAATGTGCCTACTGCACTGACATATCGTTTTGTACATTGTGTTACCATGGAAAAGTTGTAGTTGTTTACATCACATACCAGCTAGATATGAAAAAAGGCTTGAGGAAAACTGGTGTCTTCACTGAAGTGTTTTTGAAATATGTTGAATGTGTCTCCAGGAAACCACAGTGGCGTTCGCAGGTTTTATCCTGGAGGAAATCTGATGGATTTTCTTCATCCAGTTCACAACTGGAATAGTGACTTCTTCACTGATGTCACCCAGCACAGCAGTCTGGGAGTGCGCTGGTTTTCAGTCGCTGATGAGGCCTTCCTGCTGGCACGGCTCTCAGGTAAAGGTGAAATAACACTTCCAATAATTTGTTGGAATGCTCCAATTTATTTTTTTCCAGGCAGCAGTGTGTCACAATCGTTCTCTTACCCTAATGCTACACTTCTATCAGATCTTGAAAAAAAAAATTAATGCTATAGGACAATAAGACAATAATTTTTTATCTGGCTTTACCCAGTATAGTATGGAATTTTTTTTTTCTTTGAAGTCTTTTATTACTTTTTTTTTTTTTACATTTTTTACTTAACCAGGGACTGTCACTCCAGGGACAGTCCCTGGAGTGTCTGTCCCTGTCACTCCAGGGACAGTCTGTCCATTATTGTATTTTATGTATTTTAGCTGTTGTAAACCTTGTCCTTAATTGATTTCTGGTTCAGCTCACATGTGAATCCAAGTCTTGGGCTGGAGGCATTTCTAGCTCCATCCTGGTTCAGATCTGTTAGTCAGACTCATGCAGGAAGGAAACCTTGTCTCAGTCCAGTCACTCCTGAAATACTGCTGACCCTGGCATGAACTTACTTGACCTTAATGTAAAACTTCAGTGACTGTACACTCACTATGAATGCTTTTCATAATTCCAATATGTAGAAAATTATACAACTCTTACAAATTTCTCCTCATCCAGTTAGCAAAAACACCCTGCTCACTCAAAGCTGGACTGAAATTTGTTCACAATCTGCACATCACAGCAAAGTCCTGTCAGAAATACTGACCGAGTTCTGAAGAAGGAGAGTACTAATGCACTGAACACTGACTCTCATTTCTCGACTGCGTCTGCGTGTCTCCAGATGAGGATGGTGGGATGCTGGTTCTTCATGTAATTTCTGACAGAAATCAACCTGGAGTTCCTGTGCTGGGAGACTCTGGGACCAGCTCTGAGCCCTTCACACTTCAGGTAAATAAGTGGAGATGAACCAATCGTTTAATTCCACATCACTGCAGTAGACCTCAGCCAGGAAGTTCATTTGGGTTTGTCTTGTCCAAATCATCTTTTTACAATTAAAAGGTGATATCTTTTGTCAATGAAGTTGATGATATAAGTGGAACAGAGTTCTGAGATATTCTTTTTTACTATCTTTTTTATGTCTCTCACATGAAAATCCAATTTAGGCATAAAATGTTTTACGTGTATATGCCAATAGTTGCCAAGAGTTTTCAGCTATGATTTTGTAAACCAACTACTGTATTTTGTACCTTTCAACACAAAGTTTAGGGAGCAATGAAAATATGCGGTGTACACAAGAGGACCTTTTTACGTGTGTGCATTGTGTGTTTGAAGCGGGTCTTTGAACTGCTTGGGCAGAGGACTGATGCACCCTGGGGGGTTTATCTTCGGGTTCATGGTCATCAGCTTCTGGAAGCTTCCCTCAAACTGCTGCAGGCCGCCTACTGTGCCGAGGAACTCTACAGGCCCATCTGGATCAGCATGGAGAGTTCCCAAAGCAGCTACAGCACAAATGTGTGTATCATTATTTAAGTCATTACATAAAATGTGACTTTTTGAAATATTTGAACAAGTCATAAAAATGCTTACAAATAATAACCTTTGAAAGGTAATTTGGAAAAAAAAATTGATTATCAGGTTAAGAGTCAAATGCATACAACTAGTTCCTACTGGTCTTCAGTCCATGCTTACTCAGCTGAAGTAAGCAGCATGAACTGTGTGTCATCTGTGTATTTCAGGATTTTGTGTCCACAGTGGAGGAGTTGTTTCCGTATGTCACTGTGGTCCTAACTGAGCAGAACTGGCCTCCTCTGATCCCAGCAACACTGACAGGCCTGTCCCAAAGGCTGGCTGTACACCTAACCTCAGCATCACTGCTCAAAGAACCACAGGAACCTCCCTCCCTGAAGGAGAGGAACCAGTGTGACTTTCTAGTGGAGATGGACATGGAGGACACTGGAGAAACTTTTAGAATTATGAAGAAGCTCATGGCCCAACAGGGAGGAAAATCAAATTTCTACATGATGACTGGCAAATAAAAGAAACTATTTGACACAAACATGAGGTTGGACTTCCTCATCTAGCTTGTTGATGGAGATTATCTTTACTGTCAGTGAGGAGCTTTTGGCTTTATTTCTTTTCTCAAACCATCACACCTTGATTTTAATAAAGTTAAGTGAATAAAGCCTGGTTAGTTCTCAAAGTATGTATTCTGTTTGCATTATGTATCATGAAGGAAAACAATGCTAAGGTTAAAAATGAAGGTCCTCATACTGTTGAAACTTTATATTTACAGTTACAGTCTTTCAATGAGACTTTATTTGATTGACCAACTCAAAATGGCATAATGAAAAGAAAATAAAGCTCTGAATAAACAGTGTTCACGAGTATTTGATCTTCAATGATAAGAAAGCCACAAGAGGATGTGCAAGTGTCCTCTTGTGGACACTTACACAAGACTAAGTGTCATTATAGATGCAAAATTATTGCATGAATATTTTTTTTCTTACACATGCAAAATGTATAAGAAAAGAACACACTGCACATCATCTTGAACACAGCAGTGCCAGGGATGGTGGTGGCAGCTCAATGCTTTTTGTCTGCAGACGTGGAAAACAGTCAAAGCCAAATACAAGGTGGAAGTTCACCTTCCTGCAATGCGATGCAATGTTTCTCATTTCCAGTCCTCACCCTTACAAAAAATCCCATGAAAACCACACATGTGGTTCACCCAACTTTTCACATGTGAAAGATGTGAATCACATGTATGTGTGATTTTGGAAGTTTTCTACCACGTGTGTGGTACACATTGATACATAAGATATGTGAAACCCATGTGGATCACATGGTCTACACATTTGCAACACATGCATTAGGTGTGAAATCCATCCATCCATTTTCTTCCGCTTATCCGGGGGTAGCAGCTTCAGAAGGGAGGCCCAGACTTCCCTCTTCCCAGCCACTTCTTCCATCTCTTCCAGGGAAACCCCAAGGCGTTCCCAGTCCAGCCGAGAGACAGAGGAGAGAGAGGTGTGAAATAGTTGAAAATATATACAGTTATAAAATAATGAGACCACCTTTTTTACCATGAAAATTTCAAATTTTTTCACATTATTCACTTTTCACAATGAATATGAGGTCACATGTCAATGTCATAATTTTATACAACATAAGTGCATACTAAAGTAGCCTTGTAGCTATTAATCAAGACTTCCAAGTGTAGAACAAGGAAAGAACCCAGATTGTGACCTCAGGACGTGGCCCTAAAGCCAATTTGTAGATCTCTGAAATAACATCAAATGGCTTAGGGTTTCGCAATTAAAGGTACCCAGGTAGACCTGGCTTAAAATGATGAAACAGAAATAGTATACAAACTATACTCATACATTCTTTTACAATATTAAAAATAGGCATTCTAATTTACAATCCAATAAAGCATAGATCCCCAGAACACGAGAAGCAATCTGAGACTTAAACAAAAACTGCAATCCAAATTAGTAGCAATCCAAATTAGTAGCAATGCAAATTAGTAGCAATCCAAATTAGTAGCAATGCAAATTAGTAGCAATGCAAATTAGTAGCAATGCAAATTAGTAGCAATCCAAATTAGTAGCAATCCAAATTAGTAGCAATCCAAATTAGTAGCAATCCAAATTAGTAGCAATGCAAATTAGTAGCAATCCAAATTAGTAGCAATGCAAATTAGTAGCAATGCAAATTAGTAGCAATCCAAATTAGTAGCAATCCAAATTAGTAGCAATCCAAATTAGTAGCAATCCAAATTAGTAGCAATGCAAATTAGTAGCAATCCAAATTAGTAGCAATGCAAATTAGTAGCAATCCAAATTAGTAGCAATCCAAATTAGTAGCAATCCAAATTAGTAGCAATCCAAATTAGTAGCAATCCAAATTAGTAGCAATGCAAATTAGTAGCAATCCAAATTAGTAGCAATGCAAATTAGTAGCAATGCAAATTAGTAGCAATCCAAATTAGTAGCAATGCAAATTAGTAGCAATCCAAATTAGTAGCAATGCAAATTAGTAGCAATCCAAATTAGTAGCAATGCAAATCAGTAGCAATGCAAATCAGTAGCAATCCAAATTAGTAGCAATGCAAATTAGTAGCAATCCAAATTAGTAGCAATGCAAATTAGTAGCAATCCAAATTAGTAGCAATGCAAATTAGTAGCAATGCAAATTAGTAGCAATCCAAATTAGTAGCAATCCAAATTAGTAGCAATCCAAATTAGTAGCAATCCAAATTAGTAGCAATCCAAATTAGTAGCAATGCAAATTAGTAGCAATCCAAATTAGTAGCAATGCAAATTAGTAGCAATCCAAATTAGTAGCAATGCAAATTAGTAGCAATGCAAATTAGTAGCAATCCAAATTAGTAGCAATGCAAATTAGTAGCAATCCAAATTAGTAGCAATGCAAATTAGTAGCAATCCAAATTAGTAGCAATGCAAATTAGTAGCAATGCAAATTAGTAGCAATCCAAATTAGTAGCAATCCAAATTAGTAGCAATCCAAATTAGTAGCAATCCAAATTAGTAGCAATCCAAATTAGTAGCAATGCAAATTAGTAGCAATGCAAATTAGTAGCAATCCAAATTAGTAGCAATCCAAATTAGTAGCAATCCAAATTAGTAGCAATGCAAATTAGTAGCAATCCAAATTAGTAGCAATCCAAATTAGTAGCAATCCAAATTAGTAGCAATCCAAATTAGTAGCAATGCAAATTAGTAGCAATCCAAATTAGTAGCAATCCAAATTAGTAGCAATGCAAATTAGTAGCAATCCAAATTAGTAGCAATGCAAATTAGTAGCAATCCAAATTAGTAGCAATCCAAATTAGTAGCAATGCAAATTAGTAGTAATCCAAATTAGTAGCAATGCAAATTAACATTAATTTGTTAATTATTTAACAAATTAATTTTAAATAACAAAAGAAAAGCAAATCTCACATTGCATCAACCCAATTTTATAAAGCTGAGCCCAATCAGCTAATTCATAAAATAAAAAAAAGGAATATGAACTGTCATTCTGGTTCCGTAATGCTTGTGATACAGCTCCAGCTCTAGAGGATGCCTATTAGGCAATTAACCAAGAGCATCTAAAGAATGCACCTAGGTGAAGTTTACCTTGCAACAGCAGCAATCTGCAATGCATGTAAAACTAAAGTGTCTGCCGACAATAATAAAGCCATATAAGGCAAAATGAAAAACTGGTACCTTACTCAGCCACACAAATGGCTACATTCAGACTCTGCAGTGAAAAGCCACTGAAATGCATCCTAAAAAGCAATTAGAAATTATGTCAGAAAAACTAATAGCAACAATATAAAAGGTGACCTGACGTTACACAGAACCAGCAACAGAAATCCATTTACCAGCAGCAAAAATATCCGTGATCCAAATCCTGGCCCAACCAGCAAGGCACCATCGACCGAGACCCAACTGGCAACAGACCCTCACAGCAGGGGTTATGCCGAGAAATGCATCAACAGGGGATGCAAGTCCGATTCCTCCTCTCGCATATTGAGGAGGAAATGGACTGAAATCTGACCGAAGAGGAAACTTTTGAAGATGTTTGTAACTTTATCACGTTTCTTAACCATGTAAGCCCTGAAACGGTGAGTTTTATTTCGCAGATTAATTGAAATAAATGCGGTTTTTACGCCTTTATTGAGACATATGAGTCAAAGGTTTTTCAGTGATGAACATGTTCTCCGCAGCTGCTTTGAAATTCCCAGATGTTTCATTCAACACCATAACAGCTTAAAGCTACAAAACTGAGGCCCATTATATAGAACATTTGATATCATCCTTTACTGTCTAATCCATTAATGTAGGGGCGGGAGGGGTTCATTTGAATTTATTTATTTATTGATCTGACTCTTTATTTCTCTGAGTTAGCAGGGGGATGCATTTTTCGGCAATATGTATTTTTAGCCTGCCAAAATTTTCATCCCCTCTCTATTTTCAAATATTATCGAATTGATATAAAACTAATACCAGGAGTTCATAGAACTACTCTGGTTATGTAGAAAAAGTTATTTTCTGGAGAGACTGTAGCATTCGACTGTGAACCCTCTGAGTCTCCTTAATGTCTTCCAGGTTAGAACACACAGACACACACATAGATACATGTTGGCATTGATGGCTTATATAGTGATCTTCACATGCCAGTAACCACAGGTGAAGGTGCTGTGGGTGGTGATGCTCAGGTGAAAGTTTTTCTTCTCCTCTAACGAATAGAGCAGATTAAACTAGAAAATTTCTGGAGAAATTTAACCTTGCCAAAGTTAAATTTCTGATGGGCCAAAGTGTCCCATTAGTTTGGACCCAGTGTTCTGATGCGAAAAATTAGCATCAATGCTAAGCTTAGCTAAATTTTAGTCAATACCCTGTGGAGAATTGCAAGCATGTTGACTAACATGGACTTGAACCATTCAGTATGTTAACATGAATGTGTAAGCTAAAATTAGCCAAAATGCTAATGTAAGCCTAAATACTGTCAGAAGCAGTGTTGTGTTCAAGACCACCTAACCCGAGACCAAGACAAGACCAAGACCAGAGTGTATCGAGACCGAGACAAGACCAAGACTTTTAGGGTCCGGGACCAAGTCAAGACCAAGACCGAGGGAAGTCGAGACCGAGTCAAGACCAAGACCAGCGCCAGTATGTGACAATAAAATGTGAAACATGATCAAAATCACTAAAATTGATCTAAAAGACCCACATTCACGTAAAAACACCTAGATATTTTACACAGAGAACTGGAATAAACAAACATCTTTATTTAGTATAAATAAAGTATATTGAAATAAGAACTGTGTGATGGCCGAGTAGAATAATTTTGATACCGAGGAAATTGCTTATGTTAACTTGCTAGCTTTCCTAATATCACTTTTACACACAGCTTACCTTTCTTTGTGCTTTCTTTCAAGGTGTCGATAAAAGTTGGACGTAGTCCCCACCGTCTCTGATAGTGAAGCACTGCAGAACTTACATTGCGCTGTATGCTTTTTTCTCAATGTTGCTTTACAAATGTATTGTTTGTGATTTAAATAGCCAAATTTTATAACCGATGATTTGGCCGACATCTTATCCCCTTCCCAGACAACCACTTGTAACTTTCAATCGAAGTGCTGCAGTCCGCAGCTCAAGGTGAAAGGGGGTGGGGCGACAGCAGTTAAAAAAAACAACAACATGCATTTACCAATGAGACGGGTTATTGCTTGGATTTGAATCAGGAGTGCATCCAATAAAAAGAAGGATCTTAAAGAAATTGATACTGATGATTTAGCGTTATTTTCACAGTTGTGGTCTTGACCGGTCTTGAAATAAAATACCGAGTCCTCAATGTCCG